ACTTGAATTTTATTAGAAACACCACTAGACTCCTTAAAATTTATTGAAATTATTTATAAGCAGAAAAATTATTTTTAAGACCATTCGAGATGCCATGTTGACAGTGTCACCGAAAAGACAATAACGAGGGGCGGCTATTCCGACCTTTTTTAAAAATAATTTTTAAAATACATTCTGAAAAAATATATCAGCTTACAACTCCAGCAGCAACAGAACCGCTATGGAAACCAATACGTACCTTTATAATTATTAGGTTTAAAAAAATTCTGAAATAAATCAGAATCGTTAAGTATATTTTTTGTATTTTCCGGAAAGTTGCTTTTATTAATTCAAGTTTTTATTTAATAAACTTGAATTAAAAGTACAACTTGAATAATACAAACTTGAAAAAAGAATTCAAGTTTATTTAATACAAACAATTACAAATAAAATAAACTTTAATTGTAAACTTGAATATTTATTTAATTCAAGTTTTCAAGTTTAAACTTGAATTCAAGTTTATTTATTTTATTCAAGCTTAAACTTGTTTTTTTAAGTTCAAACTTGAATTAACGTACCAGAATTAAATCAGAATTATTTTAATTACAACTTACCATCATAATTTCTTCTGGTCGGTGTGCAACTTTAAAGTTTGCTACAAACTTAAAATACAATTGTAAAATATTAGAATAAGTTAAATTTAATATTAAACTAACAGAGCGCATTTTTAATGCAATATCTGCAATATGCTGAACGTGGGCGTTACCATTTTCGCGGGGAACGCCAGAAACGATCATATAAGCATCCCCAATCTTTTTTACAAATTTAATTTAAATATCCAATTTTTTGATTTACCGTCTCAACTTTATAAGCATCATGTTTAGCAATTATCGAATCAAATCCAGAAAATAAATCATTGAGAAAATTGACTACTTGAAGTGGTGTTGAATTGCTAGCCATTCGAGTAAATCCACGAATGTCAGAGAAAAGTACTGTAGCGTTCAGATAGAGTTGGGGAGGGACTGCTCGACCGGCTTTGAGATCGTCGGCAATTGTGCTTTATTAGAAATTAATTTTTTTAGGATAATTTTTGGGGAATTTTTTGGGGGATTTATGGAGGACTATTGGATAAGATAGAAGAAAAAATTTTTAAAAAAATTAAAAAAAAATTTTTTTACGAGGGTAACATATTTTTCAACAATCTGTCAGCTTGTTGTTGAGCTTCCTCAAGCAATTGAGTCCGTTCTTTAACTAATATTTCCAAGTTAGTAGTATAATCTTCCATCATTTTCATCATTTGGTCTACTAGAGACCCGCTTCCGGTAGATTTCAGATTTGAGTTTACAATAGCTTTAATTCTTTTTATATTTGGACGCATTTCTGGTAATTCTAACCAACAGGCTTCTAATGCCTTTAAAAACAAAGTTTACAAACTTGAGAACAAGTTTATTTTTTAAAGTTGGTAATTCTGATTTTATTTTAAATGCAATTCTGATTTTGTAAACTTAAAAATTCTGATTTTTGTAAACTTAAGTTTATTTTTAATTCTGATTTTATTTGTTAATTGTAAAATGTAAGTTTTGTAAACTTTAAAAAAAGTTTATTTTTTATAATTGTAATTCTGATTTATTAATTGTAAATTGAAGTTTGTAAACTTGAGAGTAAGTTTATTTTTTAATTATAATTCTGATTTTGTAAACTTTAAAAAACAAGTTTATTTTATATTTGTAAACTTAAGTTTGTAAATTTTGTAAACTTAAGGGCAAGTTTATTTTTTTAATTCTGATTTTATTTGTAATAGTAAATTAAAGTTTATTGTAAACTTTAATTTAATTATTCTGATTTACCGAAAGCAGTTGTAAATTATATGCTTCCTCATTTGCTGCAATTTGTTGTTGATTTGGAAATGTTGGCCGTATAATTTGATCATCTTCATTAGCAAGTGCTATTTTCTGAAGAATTTCTTAAAATTAGAAATAAAATAGTAATTCTTAAAAATTCTCAATTACTCGAAGGAGGCAAATTTCGTTCATAAAAGGGTTCCAATTTAAACAAAATTTGGTATAGAACCATTCCGAGTCCGTACATATCGGAGGCAGGCGACCCTTGTGGAATGTGTTTCGTAGAAATAAATTCTCTAATAATTTCTGGTGCTTGTTGAATAAATTCTGAAAATTAAAGAAAAAACGTTTATTTTTCTTCCGGAAAGTTTTATTCAAGTTTCTGATTTAATTTATAATTGTAATTCTGATTTTGTAAACTTAAAAATAAGTTTATTTCTGATATTACAATTCTGATTTAATTGTAACTCTGTAAACTTAATTTTGTAAATTTGGGAGTAAGCTTATTATTTAAAGTTGTAATTCTGATTTATAATTATAAATTAAATTCTGAGTTTGTAAACTTGAAAACGAGTTTATTTTTTATAATTCTGATCTAATTGTAATTCTGATTTGTAATTAATTGTAAATTTAAATTCAGAATTTGTAATCTTAATTTAAGCATTTTATTAGTCTTAAACTTAAGTTCAAACTTAAGTTTTCGAATTAAATTTCAGTAATGTTTCACTTCGCAAACTTAAGACTTAAATTTAAATACCGTAAATGCTCCAATTGAAGCACATGTGTTTCTATTTTTCGATCCTCTCGTAGGGTGCTCGTAGGGTGTTCGATCCTCTCGTAGGGTGTGCCTCTATTAGAGACTGTGCTTCAAATGGATACTGTGCTTCTATTAGAGCATTTAAGGTATATTTTCTCCCTACTTTTAGTAGTATTCTTCTCCCTCATTCTAACATTAGCCAAATCTTCTTCTTCACTTCCTTTACTTTCCGATTCTGTATTGTTATTTTCCCTTCGTTTTTCTGCTCGTTTTCTTCCACCTCCTCTTCTTCCACCCCCACCACCTTCTTCACCTCCATCATCTCCTCCACCTCCTCCCCCATCTTCATTATTACCACCTTTTTTTGGCCTTTCCTTCTCTCGGATTCTCTCCCTTTCTTTTTTCATTCTCATTAATTCACTTTCACTTATATATTTTAATTCATTATGCCGCAATTTATCTCCAATAATCTCTTCAGTAACAAAATTTGTTAATTTAATATTCCAGTTGGAATCGACGAGGCAATTTTGTAGGCATAAAAAGCCGTGATATTTAATTGTTGAAGTGTGGAGGAAGAAGAGACCCTTTGAATTTTTTAAATTTATTTTTGCCCTTATATTTGTCCTTATCTACCTTAACAACATCTTTTACAAAAGAAACTTGAAAATTTCGACTGATTTTTAATTCTTCGTTGAATAGAACATCCTGAGAATTAATTTAATTAATCCGAAATAATTATTTGAATCTCTCTCACTTCCAAACTCCCTCGCTGGCAGAGTAACCATAGGACAATAAATTCGTTTTGTTGATTGAAAGAAATTCCATAGAACTTTAAAAATGATTTTTTTAAAGATGATTGGCCTCACTATACTCTTGAGGCTTAAAATGTTTATCCAGGTCTATCTTAAATTGAGGGCACATCGCTTAGACAGCGCTCATGGACACTCAAATTTAAAATAACGTATCTTAAAATGATTGGGGTCTCTCAAATAGAGTAAAGCAGCTGGGCTATAGCTATATCTCTCCTTTAGCTAGAACAAAAGGTTATTCGGCGGCTGGGTACGAACCAGCATCTTCAGCAGACCGGACATGTGTTTGCCATTACACTACGTCGCCTACTGCACAGCCTTAGGAATTAAGCTTTACAATAGTTAGGCTACTGTAGAGAGTCTCTAATAGAGAGTGTTAACCATCTTCCTACCTTATTCAAATTTTCATTTTCCATAACTTTCAACTCCTTCAACCGAGCCAAATCATGTTTATTAAAGGTTACTGAACGTGTTTGTGCATATCTCTTGTAGGAGCACTTAACCCCGTTAGCTACAGCTTGTTTAGCTGATAGGCGGCTGTTAGCTCTCGATCCTATACTTCCTTGAAGGGAAGAACTATCATGAGACAAAGTTTTGCTGTGGGCTGAGGTAGAGCCAGACTTCCTTGTACGTTCTTCCAGTAGCCGGACTTGCTCTCGAGGAATACGCCAGGTCATGTCGTAAAGCATTCTTTCCTTCCTAGGAGAAAATAGGGGGAAATTGAGTTAAGCAAGACTTTAAATTAAACAAAACTCTTTCACATAGAGGAGATAACCAAGTGGAATAATTACTGAAATTTAGTTTGAAATTATCTTAATTTCTCTTGATTTTTTCAAAATACCCCCAAGAAAGATGAGTATACCAACAACCATATAGACAGAGGTATAGTCACAGAGACCGCCGTCAAATCCGCATTTTGGCATGTCTTGAGGCATAAATCCGTCATAACTTTAATTTAAGAAAATATTTCTGATTTTTCTTAGAAATGTCCTTATTTCTCTTAAAAATGCCCTTAAAATGTCCTTAATCCTTTTCTAAATTAACGTGCCTGCTCCAATAATGACTCATGACTTCATGAGCAACCTTAATTAATTTTTAATTAATTCTATTTATTTTTATATTTATTACATGCTCGCTACAATCATTTTCTGACATTGCACATTTGTGCTTATCCCCAAGTCGCGCAGTTAATTCTACAACAATTCTCATTGTTCCGTTTTTGACATGATAGGTTGCTATAAAAAGGAGTTTCATTTATTTAATTCTTTCCGGAAAAGTTTTCCGGAATTTTTTTTAATTCAAGTTTGTATTTAATATCTTAAGTTTGCTCTTTCCGGAAAAGTTTTACGGAATTTTTATATTTCAAGTTTGTAATCTTAAGTTTGCTCCTTCCGGAAAATTCTTTCCGGAAAAGTCTTCCGGAATTTTTATAGATCAAGTTTGTAATCTTAAGTTTGTTCTTTCCGGAAAATTCTTTCCGGAAACTTTTCCGGAATTTTTATATTTCAAGTTTATTTTAATTTAAAGTTTCCGGAAAATTCTTTCCGGAAAAGTCTTGTATTTTTCTACTTATTATTTCAAGTTTATTTTATTTTTCAAGTTTGTAATTTTAAGTCAAGTTTGTGTATTACCATAACTAGGCACCCGAATAGCCTTGTTGTTCATCAATACTTGTCCTGTAACTCCAATAAATTGACGAGCTGTCATCTATATTTTTTTGTATATTTTAATTTCAATTTACTTCTACCTTCTTCCATATAAAAGATCCATCCATAAATCTGTGGAATTTTAATTTAATTTTAAATTTTCAAAAATCGTTTATAGTACATTGACTGATTTTTTGTTTCTTCATAAGCATCGCGAACTGCCAGTCCGTATAAGAAAAGCGCATCGTATAAAGACATATAGCTAAGTGTTGCATACTGAATGATTAATATTCTTTTTGTTTTTCCGGAAAACTTTTAATATAAAACCGTTCCGGAAAAAAAATTAAAATTAACAATAATATGCAACTTTCCGGAAAACATTAAGTAAAATTTAAGTTTTTAATTTTTATTTCCGGTAGGTTTGTAATTTAAGGTTATTGTCTTTTCCGGAAACATGGTGAAGTTTGTAATTAATAAACTTTCCGGAAAACTTTAATTTAAATATTTAAGTTTGTAATTTATTTTTCTGGTAAGTTTGTAAACTTAAAATTATATTGTTTCCGGAAATATATTTAAGTTTGTAATTAATAAACTTTCCGGAAAACTTTAATTTAAAAGAGAGTTTAGAATAATTTACAAACTTCCGGAAAATATATAAAAAGCGCATCCGGAAAGAGCAAACTTAAGATAATAAATACAAACCTGAAATATAAAAATTCCTGAAAACTTTTCCGGAAAGAATTAAATAAACTAAATTATATATTAGAACTTTCCGGAAAACAATTTAATAATTAAGTTTGTAATTTTTATTTCCAGTAAGTTTGTAATTTCTAGATAGTGTATTGTTTCCGGAAATATTTTCAAGTTTGTAATCTCTATTAATTAAATTCTTAATATTACATAGCTGCTGATAATTCCAGTCATTTTATTAAATCGTTGTTCAAAGTCTTCAATAAACTTCTTGTCATAACCGTGAGCAGTAATTACAACCGCATCATCAAATGCCGTTTTAGTTTCTTGTTTTTCTACGTTACTAGCTTCCCAAGGGTAGTGGTCATGCATCTTGAGGGGATTATTTTGTTTAAAATTAAATGTAATTTTTATTTACGTGAGCGAGCCATGGAATGATATAGACATACTCTAAATTTTTTTATAAATTTTAATAAATTTTAGAAAAAACCGGATGTTTTCATATGTGATCGGTGAGCAGCAATCATGAAATTTTTCGAACTATGCAAATCCATACCCATCTCAACAATAATTACTTAAATTGAGAATTGTAATTTATTTATTTTTTTGAGTTTACTTCTAGCTCGATTTCTTAATTGTTTTAATTTTCCTGTGGCGATAATTTCATCTGGAGTCATCTGTCAAATTTTAAGTTTATTTTAAAGTTTGTCATTTATTTTTACAATTCAAGTTTATTTTAATTACATTAAATATATGTGAGATTACAATTCAAGTTTATTATTGTCAAGTTTGTAATTTATATTTGTGCTTAGTCAAGTTTATTTTTGTAATTATTTGTAAAATTACAATTCAGGTTTATTTTGTAATTGTGTTACTCTATTTTTACAATTCAAGTTTATTATTGTTAAGTTTGTAATTTTTACAATTCAAGTTTATATTTTTAAGTTTGTAATTTTTACAATTCAAGTTTATATTTTCAAGTTTGTAATTTATATTTATTTATAGCCAAGTTTATTTTTGTAAAATTACAATTCAAGTTTATTTTTATAACTGTGTTAATCTATTTTACAATTCAAGTTTATTATTGTTAAGTTTGTAATTTTTCAATTTATTTTATAATGTTATTCTATTTATAACTACAATTCAAGTTTATTTATTTTTGTATTATTTTTTTAAGTTTGTAATTTATTTTTACAATTTCAAATTTATTTTAATAATTGTAAATTTACATACATAAGGGTCCAATTCTATTTCAACATTAATTTCAATTTGAGCATCCTTCAAGTAGCTTTTTAAAGAATGTAACGAAAGACGTTCAAAGTTAACACTAGCTTTGACTAGTCCGACCTGACAAATTTAAAAATTAAGTATTCCTCATTTAATTTTAAATTTAATTTGCCTGTTTCCACCCATAAAGTTGAATATATGTTTGGGTTGCTCTAGCCATTTCAGTTGCTGAGGTTAGCGCTACCGAGCCGAGAGTGTCAAATACTTTAAGTTTTTATTTTTTGATTTTCCGGAATTTTTTATTCACCCGTCCGGTCAGATAGAGCGTCGTCTCCAGAGAGGTGGGCAATAATTGGAACTTGATAAAAAAAAAGTTTTTTAATTTTTCAACAATTTACCATTCCAACGAGAAGCTAGACGTCCAATCACAAGCATTTCTTAAGGGTTTTAAAGGGTTTTAAGGTTCTTAAAGTTCTTAATTTTAACCATTATTGCATCCAGGACCGAAGTAAACACTAGCATTTCGCATATAATGAAGGAAAGCGGCGTGCTCTACTCCACTTAGACGATTACAGGATTCCATTGTAATCACCTACAAGTGTGTAAATTTAATTTTTATTAAAATACTTTTAAAAATAATTTGCCTGGAAGTTGATGGAAGGAGGCAAGATAGCCCTTTCTTTCATGTCGGTATGACACATTGCTAGAACTTGGGGCTAATTTAAATTAAATTAAAAAATTAAACTTGAGTAAACCACTAAAATTACCTCATTTATTATATTTGGATTATTAGGCTGTAAATGAGCTACTTTAATTACATTTGTCGTTATACTTGTTTTTATAAGGGAGATAAAAATTGTTAAGTTTAATAGAGTTAAACTTATTCCGGTTGAAGCAAGTTGCATTATTAAATAGAGAATAAACTTTTTCCGGAAAGTTTTAGAATATTACTATAATGCTTCAAGTTTTAAAATATAGGTATATTTATAAAAATGTTTCCGGAAAGTTGAAAAATAAATACAACTCTCCGGAAAGTTCGAAAATAAATACAACTTTCCGGAAATATATTCAAGTTTTAAAATATATTCAACTTAACTCTACAGTATTATACAAAGTTTTTAAAATTAATTCCGCCTGCTTCACTAACATTTAATTTAAATAAACTTTTTTTCCTGCATATTCCGGAAAGTTTTATTTTAAAAATACAGTCTATCGTTATAAATGCTGTAATTCTGATAGAATATATAAAACTTTAATTCTGAAATAGATAAAGTAGGGGGTATTTAAGTAATATAAAAATAAAAAGGAGGAATTAAATGGATGATTTGACATTTTTAGGATTATGCCCAAAGAAATGCGCGAGATTTTTAAATTTGTGACGCTAATGACTTTTTAATGGATATTTTAATACTTTTCTTCTTAAATTTGTAATACTAATAGAAAATAATTAAAAATAAATTTATTTTTTAAAAATAAAATTTTTTGACGTCAAAAATAAAAATTTTTGGGATATTTTGGGACGTCTGGGACAATAAAATTTAATTTAAAAAATATCTTTGTTATCAACAATATCACGTCTTGTTTCATTAAATCAAAAAAAAGCTCTTTAGCATTCATCCAGTAAAGGATTCTGCATATCACGAAAGGCGTCAACAAGCTTTCGCACAGTTTGACGCTAAAATAATTATTTTAAAAATAAATTTTAATTGTTTCCGGAAATTATTTATAAACTTTCCGGAAGTGTCTATTTTCCGGAATTATTATATAAACTTTTTTCCAGCATATTCCGGAAAAAAAATAGTAAATATTTTCCGGTATTTAAATTCCGGAAAATTCAGGGAAAACAAAAAGTTTCCGGAAAATATATATGTTTTCAGAAGAATTTATATTTTTCAGAAACTTTTCCGGAAACAATTATATTTTCCGGAAATTTTTACAAATTGTAAATAAATTTTCCGGAATTGTAAGAATAATAAAATAAAACATTTATACATTTTCCGGAGAATTCTTAATATACATTTAATATAAAGTTTCAAGTCTAAAGTTTATAAAATACATCAAACACCGTAATCTACCAAATGACGAAATAAAAATATTTTTAGTGTATTAATAAAGGAATTTACTAAATAATACTTAAACCTAGGCGTCAACTTAATCCCAACATTAAAATGTCATTTAAGAATTTCTACTTCCTTGTTTTATTTTGAGGTAAATTACGTAAATAGAGGCTATTAAGACCTTATAAAAAAAATTTTTTTTAATTTTTCAAAAAAAATTTCAAAAATTTTTCAGAAATTTTTCAAAAAAATTTTTTTTCGATCACTATAATATTCTACCTGTACATTAGAACTACTAAAAACACTCTCAACCATTCCATTAGGTTCCTCCTTTTTAGGTCCACTATTATTTCTAACTTCATCCACAACTTGTTGTAGCCACCTTTCTGCCTGTTTTAACACAGATTCTCTTTTAGCCCAAAAATGTCTTTTAATTATATCCCGAAAATAAATTGGGCCATTTTTCCATTGTTCGTATATTGCGTAGACTAGAGTTGCATTTTCTATGTGTAAATTGTATTTTCGAGAATTTTCGTCTCCTTTAGTAGTTCCTTGACCTTTTTCAAATCCTGGCTCGTTGAAATAGGGTTGGTGGACAAATATGAGTCCCTAAAATTGGTTGGTAATAAATTATAGGGAAAACAAAAAGTTTCCGGAAAACATTTGTAAATTTTCCGGAAAATATAAATGTTTCTAGAAGCTTTATATTTTTCAGAAACTTTTCCGGAAACAATTATATTTTCTAGAAACTTTTACAAGTGTTTCCGGGAAGATAAGTCTTCACGGAAAACATTTGTAAATGTTTCCGAAAAAAGTTTCCGGAAATGACAAATCCTTCCGAAAACTTTTACAACTGTTTTCCGGATAATTCGAATCTTTCCGTAAAGCTTTTGTAAAAGTCTCCGGAAAACAATTTTATTCACCTGAATAGAAATTAACACTTGAAGGAGGGAACATAGAGGACTCCATTTCTCCTCTGGCCTTCCTTCCCATGTGCCTAGAATTGAAAGACAAATTTTGCCGTCGTTGTACAAATTTGGGTTGAAACTGAGGGAAAATTGAAATAATAAAATTGTTTAAAAAAATTAAATACTCACCGAACATTACCAGAGCCAGTAGTAAGAAATGAGCATTTTGGAGGTTGTTGCGGGTAATTTACAGGGAAAAACACGTCAAACTCGAACAGTCCATTCTGGTAGGGAGTATCGTCCGGACCACTTATTAATACCTTAAGAGTTAATTTTTGATAGCAAAATATTTTTAATTAATGCCTTTAACATATCACATCTAGTTTCGTCCATACAAATAAAAATGGCATTTGAAGCATTTAATGGGAGGGAATTGTGCATTGAAGAAAGTTCCCTGGAAAGATGTTAAAGTTGAACAGTTAAAAAAGTTTCCGGAAAATAAACTTGTTTTGTAAAAATATTAGTAAATTTTCCGGAAAACATTTTAAATTCTTTAGGATAATAAAGATGCTTCAGGAAAATATCAAAAAGTTTCCGGAAAATATACATGTTTATACAAACATTTATAATTGTTTCCGGAAAATAGAAATATTTCCGGAAAATATTTCTAGAAGTTCCGGAATGTTCTCGGAGTACAATTGTAATAGTTTCCGGAAAACATTTGTAATTGTTTCCGGAAAATAAAAGTGCTTCCAGAAAATACATAGGTATTTGTAGAAGTTCCGGAAATATTAATATTCTCGCAATACAATTGTAATAGTTTCCGGAAAATATTTATACAATTTTCCGGAAAATTATTAATCATTTCCGGAAAGGAGTATCAATATTCTTGTAATACATTTGTAATAGTTTCCGGAAAAATTATTATTTGTTTCCGGAAAAGTTTATATTTTCTTAAACTTGTCTTCTTACTTTGCAATCCTTTTAGTTCTATCCTTGTGCGTAGGCGAGAAAGGATTGACAGAACGAAGCTCTTTTTTGAAGCTAAATCCATAGACTGGTTTACCCGCATCATTAATCAATCTACAAAAATTTCCATTTTTATTTTCCAAGTTTATTATTTTTTACTTCCAAGTACTAATTTGTAATTCTCTCAACAATTCCTTGTATTGTTGTAAAGGTGATTGGGCATCAATTCTGGCAATTTCTTCTCTATCCATATGTCTAGTCATAGGTCTAATGCCTCTACTAGATTTTAATCTGGCCGAATGAAAATCTCCTCCTCCTCCCCCTCCATTTTTACCCACTCCCTCAGATAGTCCTGTATGAGAAGCAGTTTTGTGTAATGGGGATGATGGAGAGGATTCTTCAGAATTGTCATTATTTAATTTTCCAAGTTCAGCAATATTAGCAAAAGAATTGGCATTACGCTCTATTGTTGTATTTGTCGTTAAATTTGAAGGAAATAGAGAACGCCGACGACGCTGAAAAGCTGCGGCGTTTTGCTGCCCATTTTTTACTCTTAAAAAATGGCGGGGAGCACATGAAGTTTTTACTCGTTTTTCTGTTGGAAGTTGTTTTTCGTATTGGCGAGACATTCGAAGAATTACCTTTTTGGGGAAAAGAATTTTTAGTGATTAGGAATACATTACGGAAAACATTTGTAAAAGTTTCCGGAAAATATAGGTTTCCGGAAATATAAAAGTTTCCGGAAAATATAGGTTTCCGGAAATATAAATGTTTCCGGAAAATTCAAGTTTCCGGAAAGAATTTATAAAGTTTCCGGAAGTCATTTGAAAATGTTTCTGATGTTTCCGGAATTAAATAGATCTTTCCGGAAAGCGCAAACATTTACGGAAAGTTTTTCCGGAAACTTGTATTTAATAGTTTCCGAAATATATTTACATATAAACATTTCCGGAAAACATTTATAAAGGTTTCCGGAAAATAATTTATCGTTCTTAATAATTTCAAGGTAAATATTTTTTAAAAACTACCTCAGAGAAATCATTAACTTTTCTTATAAAATCCATAAAAGAAATATCTGCTTCCGTTATTCCTCTCACCAACATTGGGTAATTGTTCATATTATCTCGAAATTGGGGAATTAATTCTTTGGCGATAGATTTTCCGTTAGATTTTTCTTGTTGTTTGACTAAATGGGGCAATATTGCTGGGATTCCTGCCAATCCTGCAGTTAACTCGAAGAGAACCTGAGAATAAACTTGGATTTAATAAAACTTATTTTCTCTGCCTGATATAACGGGATATGCTGCGAGACGTCTAAAACCGAATCATTGCTTAAATGATGTGCTAACAAGGGAATAACTGCGGATTGTAATATTTGCTCTGCCAAAATTTCATCCTCCAAATGGGCAGGCATTTCCCCATAAAACATTGAGGGGACAGAACGACGTCGTTCACCTCCCTTATAACCTAAGGACATTTCCCAATCACAAACACGTTCCAAAAGACGGTCCCCCCACAAATAGGCAATTAAAGCAGATAAAAGCCAAATTAAATGTTCTTCTTGTATTGCACGTTCTTCAACTGTTCTTTCCATACTTTAAGGGAAAAAATATTTTTTTAATATTTTTAAATTAAATATACTCACTTCCACTTTGATTTTGTAGATCCTCTTCCATACCCAATACCTCTAAATTTATTTGGTTCGGCGCTCCCTGGCCTAAATTTTGAGTAAAATAGTATTTATCTGATTTATTATTTCAAGTTTGTAATCTTAAGTTTAATTCTAAGTTAATTTATTTCAAGTTTATTTACTTAAGTTTATTTCAAGTTTGCAATCTTAAGTTTATTTCAAGTTTGTTTTTTTCAAGTTTATTTACTTAAGTTTATTTACTTAAGTCATTTCAAGTTTGTAATCTCAAGTTTATTCAAGTTTATTTCAAGTTTATTTAATTAAGTTGCTTCAAGTTTGTAATCTCAAGTTTATTCAAGTTTATTTCAAGTTTATTTACTTAAGTCATTTCAAGTTTGTAATCTCAAGTTTATTCAAGTTTATTTCAAGTTTATTTACTTAAGTCATTTCAAGTTTGTAATCTCAAGTTTATTCAAGTTTATTTACTTAAGTCATTTCAAGTTTGTAATCTCAAGTTTATTCAAGTTTATTTCAAGTTTATTTACTTAAGTTATTTCAAGTTTGTAATCTTAAGTTTATTTCAGGTTTATCTTTAATTACCTTTTTCTGGGGGGTTGTTTAACATCTTTTAATGCACCCTTTGCCTGTTGCGTACTACTCCTACGACTTCCCGTCTTTCCAGCTTTATTACCTCCAACAATAAATTTTTTCCGACTTTCCCTTTCTTCTTCAGTTTCTTCAGTTTTTACTTTTTGTTGATTTTTGTCTATCAAATTTAAATTATTTTCAATCCCAGAAACGTCAACACTGTGGCGTTGATGTTGTTGAGAAGAATCAAAAATTGGGCTAGATGGAGGAGGTAAATCAAGATTACAATGTTCGTTGATTAATAGGCAAATGCGTCTGAGAACGCCACATTGAAGCATCTGTTCTTTTTCTTCACTGGTAGCGGAAGCAAGAAGCTAAGGGAAAAATTCTGATTTTAAAGTTTTAATTCTGATTGTAATTTAAATCATTCTGATTTGGTAATTCAAGTTTTATATTTTGAATTTAATTCAAGTTTAATTTCTGATACTTTTGATATTCTGATTTTGATTAATTCAAGTTTATTTTATTCTATTCAAGTTTATTAAATCCAAGTTTATTTAATCAAGTTTATAAACTCAAGTTTACTAAAAAGCAAGTTTATTTTTTAAATTCAAGTTTATTATATTCTATTCAAGTTTATTTAATTCAAGCTTATTTTCAAGTAAATTCAAGTTTATTTTATTTATTTCAAGTTTATTATATTCTATTCAAGTTTATTTTTTAAAAATTCTGATTTTTCTTACTTGTACTGCCCTTTGCATTCCATAATTGTTTTTCATGGGTTTCCGACCAACCAACTTTAATATTCTGTTAATCGTTTCATCCAAAGTAGGTTGTTGTTGCTCGTGGAAGTGATCGCGAGGGGAAGAGCTAGGTGAACTAGAGGGGGATGTACATGAAGATGAATGTACTGTTCCCATTATATTTTTAAATAAGCGATCTAATATTCGACCAAGAGAATTTGGGCAGACTAAAAATTGAAAAAAATTTTTTTTGAAAATTTTATAGTAAAATTGGGATTTCTGATTTTTCTTAAGAGAGAAAAATTTTTTTTAATTTTTCTTAAGAGAAAAAAAATTTTTAAGAACAGGTGATTTTTAACTGTACTTAAAATAAATAATTTTTATTACCAAACAATTACCATTATTTAATAATATTTAATTAAAACCTACTCATTTTTTGTCTCAAAAAAATTTTTTTATGAAAGGTGGTAATTTAATTTATATTAAAAGGGGAAAAATAATTTAATCAGAAAAAAATAATTTTAAAGTTTTTAAAGTAAAATTTAAGGGAAAATATTTTTATAAACCTACTAATTATTAAAGTTGGTAAATAAGTTTTAAAAATACAAACTTAAAAAAGCATTGTCGTCAATACTTATTAGTGAGAAAATAAAGGGAAAGGCGGATAAACAAGATATATAAAAAATATTTTTATTATATTTTTTTTAAAAATTAATAAGAGAAAGAAAAGAGGGGGATATGTTTGTTTTAATAATTAATTTATTTTTTTATTTTTATTTATGGTATATTTTTATTTTACATAATGTTTTCCAGAAACATCAGAAACATTTACAAATGACTTCCGGAAACTTGCATTTTTTGGAAAATTTATAAATTCTTTCCGGAAACATTTATATTTTCCGGAAACCTTAGATTTAAGGTTGTTAAGTTGGTAAACAAGTTTTAAGTTTAAATAAGTTTCACAAACTTGAATACTGAAAATAAACTTGAAAACCTATTTACAATTGTAATTTGTTCGTAATAAAGTTGGTAATCAAGTTTTAAGTATACAAACTTGAAACTTACGAAACTTACTTTTAAACTTATTTACACTAAGCTTAAGCTTATTTTTTATAAGTTAAGTTTATAAACTTAAGTTTACCCTTAAGTTTATTTACAATTATTTACAATTCCTATTTACAATTGTAATCCTACTTATAATTTTATAATTGTAAAACTTGATTATTATTCAAGTTTGTAAAACTTTACAGTATTTATTTAATTAATTGCTTAGGTAATGCAGACAGGTGGAACATGTAAAAATATTTTTAAGAAAAACGTTCTAATAGTTGCCAATGAAACATTGCAAAATTAAATATTTATATATAAATATTAAAGTAAAATGCGATTTCGTGCCATTAAGTATTATTTAATTATACATATTTATTTAATGCCAAGATTGAAAGGCAAATGAGAGAATGGCAAGAATTGTTAAAGAGAAAGAAATGGTTTGGCTACTACAAATTTGAGGGAGTCTTTTGGAGAGAAAATTAATTTTTTAAATAAAAATAATATTCGTAGGCTTGGTTACCTTAAAAATAAATTTTTTTGTCCTGTATATCCTTAGCTTAAAAAAATAAAATTATATTATCTGGGAAAAATAGATAGATTTTTTTAAAAAATATAGTAAAGATTGGGATGAGTGAAAAAAAAAGTTTTTTGTGCTTAACTCGCAAAATTTAATTAAAAAAATATTCTCAATTTTACAGAAAGTCTAAAAATGAAATTTAAAAAAGAAAAGAGAAAATTTTTTAATGAGAAATTTTAATGAAGGAAATAAAAATTAAAAAGTAAATGAGAAGCTTTGATGCAAATTAACAAGAGTCTTATTACTTTTTCAAGTTAAACTACAAATTGTAAAACATTAGAATTAATAGATAAGGGGAATACAAGCTATGAAATATTAGAAAAAAGATATTAAAACTTGACTAAAACTTTTTCTGATTTGTTAAAACTTTTTACAATTTGTAAAACCCCTTACAAATCCTTACACCCCTTACCCCTTACAACCCCTTACAAATCCTTACAAACCCTTACAAATCTATAAATAGCTTATTTGAATAAATTATATTTAAAAGAATAAATTTTAGTATTTATTAATAGAGCTATTGACGTTGTTAATTTTTATTTAGAAACAAATATTATTTTTGTAAAATTTAAAAGTTAGGTATATTTTTAATTAAAAAATAATTTTAAAAAATTTCAAAAATATTTTTTTAACTGAAAAATATATATTTTTTTATTGATACTATTAAAAATTCTCATTATTTACAAAATTCTTAGAATTAAAAAATTCTTTTTTTTTCAATAAATAAAGAGACTAATTGATAAAACTAAAAATAATTTTTTAAAAGAAAGGAAGAGAAAGCTGAGGACAATTATTGACACAAATTTGTAAAAGGAAACATTCAAGTGTGTTAAATTTGCATAAAAAAGAGTAAAGTTTAAAAAAGCCTAAAATATCTCTTCCGCTTTTTGAATAATTAATTTACAAATTGTAATTTATAATTGTAAAAGTTAAAACTTTAAATAAAACTTAAGTGCGCAATAATGAAACTTTACCGTAAACTTAAGTTTATAATAATAAAATTTGACCATAAACTTAAGTTTATAATTAAACTTTAAGTAAAACTTAAGTGCGCAATAATAAAACTTAACCGTAAACTTAAGTTCATAATTAAACTTTAAATAAAACTTAAGTGTACAATAATAAAACTTATCCGGAAACTTAAGTTTATAATTAAACTTTGAATAAAACTTGATTGTAAAATTTAAGCGTAAACTTAAGTTTACTTTAAATTTAAGTGTATAAACTTAAGTTTATTTTAAATAAAATAAATAAACTTTTTCCTTACACATTAATATTATAAAGTCCTTCCGGAAAGTTTTAATAATTCTGATGATTTTTATAAATTCTGATATTTAGGAAGCAATATTAAACAATCAGAAAATAAATTTAGTTGTTTATTGAAATAAATTAGAATTAAAAAATATTCAAGTGTATTTGTAATTAAAATATTTTTAATAGGTAAATCAATTTAATAAATATAAGACTGGCTTGTTTAGAAATTTACGTAATTCTGGGGACAGGTGGAAATTTTTGTTAAAAAACATTTTTTTAAGAAAAAAAGAAAATCTGTTTATATTATAATTTAATTAAAAATTAAAATAAGTGGGAGCGCCACTTTTTTTTATCCCATGACTACCAACAAATCTGCGCATATAAACACAAAATTGTTGGGTAGGCCACAGACTCCGTTAAAAATAACGCCTGTATTTAATTTAATAAATAGTTAAATACATTTAAATGTCATGTATGCATCAGAATTAGAACTTTTTTCAGAAATATTAAAACTTTCCGGAAATATAAATATTAGTATTAATTTTCCGGAAGTATATATCAGTTATAAATTTAGCTTTCCGGAAAAATCATATTAATATTAAAACTTTCCGGAAATGCATAGGTATTAGTAAACCTTCCGGAATTTTCCGGAAATATTAATAGTACAACTTTCCGGAACAGAAATATAAAACTTTCCGAAGCAAAAATATAAAACTCACTCTAACCAAAACTTTCCGGAAACAAATCAGAATTAAAAATCAGAATTTTTTCATTCCAACTTTTTAATATTCTTTTTCTCCCTTCTTTCCCTTAAATAATCCTTGAATTGAACAAATACAAACAGACAGAAAAGAAACAAAGGTTGAAGCAAAGGGACAAGTAACGGGAAAAACAATGGCACATAAACTCCTTAAAATTATAAAAATATTTTCTAAAATTAATTTTTATTTTTTACCATATTTTTGATCAGACGGGAAATTTAATAATTCGAGTAGAGAATGGTGTGTATTTGCTAATTCAGCAAAATAACGTGCTTTTGAAGCAGATTTGAAATCTTTTTTAAAAAAAAATTTTTTTTAATTAATTTTTTTAATTTATTCACCAATTTCTTCTTCATTTTCTATCAATTGTTTATAACTCTTCAAAAAATAGAATTTTGCTGAAGCAGCATAACCTGCAACTTCATCAGAAATTACTAGATCTTCTATTTTAGAAGCTACTAAAAATTAGATAAAATAAACTTGTTTTTAAGTAAACTTTAAAATAAACTTAAAACATATTTTAGAAATATAAAACTTTCCGGAAGCTTCAAGTTTTAATAAATTAACGTTTTCAAGTTTTGCTTCAAGTTCCGGAAAGAGTACATTAATATTAAAACTTTCCGGAAACAAAAATAAAACTAACTTGGATAAAATAAGCTTTAAAATAAATAAACTTTTTTTCCGGAAAATGTTTAAAAAAAGTTTGCAATTCCGGAAAATGTTTCAAAAAAAGCTTCCAATTCTGGAAAATGTTTCAGTAACGTTAAAATATTTCCCTTATTTATTTCTCTCGTTTTTTTTCAATTTTTTGAAAGTAAACTTTTAAAAATAAATTTACATTCATTTAAAGCATTTAAAGAATTCAGAGTTTGTAATAAATTATAAATTGTTAATCTTTTTTGATGTTGCTTCAATGTTTCAATTAAATTAGAATTATTAATTGGGGGGATTGATAATTGTTTAAAAACAATTCCCATTATTGAATTTAATAAAATTGTTTCATCCTCTTCGTTTTGGTGAAAACAAACACCTCCCCAACTAGCTATTGCTAGACCAGTTGATAAAGTCTAAAATTAAATGAAAAATGCTTCAAAATTTAATAGAAAAATTTCAAGTTTTAAAAAAGTTTTGCTTCAAGTTTTAAATAAAACATTTCGGAAGAAGCACATTAATATTTTAAAACTTTCCGGAAAATAATAAATTCAAGTTTTAAATAAATTAAAGTTTTAAAGTTTCTGCTTCAAGTTTTAAAAATTCAAGTTTAGATATGTAAATTAACCTTTAATTAATTCAAGTTTTAAGTAAAAGAATGCAAGTTTTAATATTGTTAAGAATTGTAAAAAAAGTTTTGTTTCAATTTTTCATTTTAAATAAAAATTACAATTCCGGAAATGTTTCCGGAAAGTTGGTAAATTAATAAATGTTCAATTTCAAGTTTAAACTTAAATTCAAGTTTTCAAGTTTTTGCTTCAAGTTTTAAAAATTATAATTTAAAATTTCACCCCTTCATCATCAACACTTCTAATTGTAGGTTCTTCCTTTCCATTTTCTCCACTTTTTGCATATTTCTCATTTTCAAAAAATATAGCAATCTTAAGTAAAGGTTCAGGTCCCAATGGCTGTAATATATAACGATCTAAAGCTGTTGCTAGCTTTGCAGATATTTGTTGGTCAGTTAATTTTTTATTTTTAGAAATTATTTTCTTCAAAGAAAAATCCCATAAATGTTCAGAACTGAGGTTAACTTGAAACAAAAAAAAAATTTTTTTTAATTAAAAAATCAAAATTTTCTTCCTCACTTTCCACACCTCCATTAACTGCCAAAATCTTTTTTGTAAACAAATCAATTTTGCTTAAAACATTTTTTGATAAATTAACAAATTTTTCTGGTTGAGGGTGAATAAAAACTAGATGAATATTGTATAGGGAATGTAATTGTAAATTATTCCAAACATTGTTGTCTTCGTCATTTTCAGTTTTATTAGGAGAAAATTGAAGCAATCTCTGGAGAAAGTTTTAAAAAAGGCCGTGTTTCAAGTTTTAAATAAATTCAAGTTTTTGCTTCAAGTTTTATTTTTAAGTAAATTACAATTCCGGAAAGGTTTCCGGAAAGTTGTAATATATTCTCTCTTGCATTTTATCTATTAATGCTTCCGGAAAGTTTAATTAAACTTTTTCTATTAAAATACTTAAAACTTGAAAATAGAAAATTACAATTCCGGAAAGTTGGAATATTATTTTGTATTATACTGAGCTTCCGGAAAGTTTGAATTATTTTTCAAGTTTTATAAAACTTGAAATAAAACTTGAAGCAAACTTTTTCTATTATAAATTCCAACCTTTTCCAAATCAGAAGTAAAATCAACTTGAAAATAGGGTAGTGAAGCTCTGTAAGGTGTTGTCGTTATCCACCTTAAAAGAGAGGAAAAGTTTATTTTACAAAAATAATTCCGGAAAATGTTTACGGAAAGTTTGGAGTTTACTCTTTTATATTCCCTTGTATTTTATTTTCCGGAAGGTTGATATTAAATGTTTCCGGAAAGTTTATTTTCTCTGCTTCTTTTTTATTAATTATTAAGTTTTCCGGAAACTTAAAATGTTTCCGGTTTTTTTATTTGTTTCCGGAAAGTTTATTAAATAATCTTCCCTACTTCTTTTTTTTATTTTATTATAATAATTATCAAGTTTTCCGGAAAGTTTAAGTAATTTATTTTTCTTTTATAAAACCCCTCCCTACCAAACAGGCAGACCAACAACAACAACAAACAAAAAAGCAAAATACGAAATTCTTCTAAAATAAATTTCTTTCTTCTCTTTTTCAGTAAATTCTACCTTTAAAAATTTAAAATTAATTTTTAAAAATATTTTTAAATTAAAAAAAAACGTTATTTGTCAGGTAAAGTTGGAATTTATGCAGAAAATGAGCAAAGCGTCCACTTGGTCCAGTTGACATTTTTTCAAAAAAAAATTTTTTTTTTGAATTTTAAATAATTTTAAAATTAATTTTTGGCAATTCTAAATTAATTTCTAAATTAAAAAAAAATATTTAAATAAAAAAATTTTTTTAATTAAATAAAAATATTTAAATATTTTATTTTTTTTCAATAATTTATTGATATATCCTACCAAAAAATTTTTAAAAATAATTTAGAAAAATTTTTTATTATCGGATACTCTTCTTAAAAATACATATATGTATAAGTAGTATATAATGAAAGGCAATAGAAAATTAGAAAATTAAAAAAAAATTTAAGGTAAATACAAATTTAAAAATAAATTTCAGTGTGTATTCGAGTCAAAGCTTGAGAGAAAAAAAATTTATTTTCAAGATTTTCTTTTCTTTTCTTTTTTATCAAGCTTAAACTTGTTCAACACTGAAAATAGCATCCATAAAAAATTTTAAAAAAATATACAAATTTATAAAAGCAATAAAAAGAAAAGTCTCCTGAATTTTTGCGAAAAAATAGAAAGGACAAGAAAGCATATAAGTAATTTAAAATTTAAAAATAAAAAGAAAGCGCTTCAGAAAAATGTATTTTTGAAAAAAAATATAAAAAAAGGGCCTCAGTTCCTCTTAAAAAAATTTTTGGCCCAGGAATGTTTTAAGGAAAATACTGGCAGTATTTTTAAAAAATTGATAAAATGTAAAAAAATAAACTTTTTGTTGTCTCCAAAATCCCATAGATTTTTTTTCAAGTTCGTCTAGTCCATTTTGCACGTTGGGCAAAGATATCACTACGCAAGTCTTGTGCAAAACAAATACCGAGAAACTGAAAAAAAGGAGAAATAAATAAAAAATAATAAAAATTTGAGAAATAAATTTCCAAAAGGTTGGGGGAACTTAGAATTGGAATTTTGTACTTTCGGAAAAGAAAAAATAATTTAAAATTTGTGAAAAGAAATTTTCCGAAAAAGAAATTTTTTCCTTATACATAATTCGTCTTTTCGGAAGGTTAAAATATAAAGACACAAATAAAATATTTAATAAAAAAAATTTTCAGAAGATCGGAAAATTATTCAAGTCTTTCCCAGCTTTCCAAAATTTTTTTAAATAAAAAATAAAATTAATTTAAAAATAAAAACCTGTACAACAGCAACAACAAAAACAGCAGCCCCCACATAAAGAAAATTGTTGTTTAGCCAAGACTGAAGTTTAGGTAAACAACCTTCAATGTGTATATTGCTATGATAAAATTGTTTTGGACCCTTTTGGAAAAATTTTTTTAATTAAAAAATAGGAAAAATTACGTTATCAGAATGGCTCACACGTGTCTGAAAAATAATAAAAAAAAATTTTTTTTAATGAATTTACAATTTTTTAATGAAAAATTATTCTCCCCAGCTTTCGAAATTCAAAAAAATTTATTGAAAATTTTTTTCAAAAAAATTTTTTTTAATTTTAAAAAATGTTTAGTGTTAAAACCAAAAAATTTCATAAAAAAATTAAATTTTAACCGCATATCCACAGGCATAATTAATAAAAGTTTTGTCTACATTTTTACAACAGGAGTAGGGAACACCTCCCGCCTTTAAAATTTAATTTAAAAAATATCTTAAAAAATTTAAAAAATACTTCTGGAGATTTTAAGGCTTTAGCAGAAGCATTAAAATAAATATTTTTGTCCCAATCATCAGGATCGCTTATTCCACAACATTGAAAATCATTTTGCATCCAGTCAATAATTGTTTGTAAATCTGGGTCATCACGGTAGTGGACAATCTTAAATTTTAAAAATTAATATAAAAAATTATTTTGGTCAAAATAAAAAATTAGTAAAGATAAGGGAAATTCCGTGAACATTATTTTGATTTCTATCCTATTTATTTTTCACCTAATTATTTGACCGATACAAACGAGTGAATGTCTAAACTAAAGATGGAACATAATTGAGAAATAGCTTGTGAGTCTAGATTCGAGTTGAGTTTTCAAACTTTTCTTCGGATAGGGATTAAAGTCGGAAAAGGCATGGTGCTAATATGAACCACACCCAATCCGGACCCTGTGGAAGTCATTCAATTATCCCCAAAAAAAATTATAAAAAAAGTCAACAGGAACTTTTAACAAATGAAAAGAATCCAAAAAAACTCCACAAAAAAGTTAAAATCTCAAAAAACAAACCATGCTATCCAATCGATTTCCCAAATCATTTTCAACAAAATCTTTAGCAACAAACGCTAGCACAACAATTAAGGCTTCAGTGAGTAATAACAAGCCAAGAATGGATGAGTAAATGGCCAAGAAACAAGTATTTTCGCGTAGAGCGCCAACACAGCCTTTAGAAAATTAAATTGAAAATTAGGGGAAATTTAAAGAAAAATTTAAGAAAAAAAACCAGAAAATCCAATTGCCCAAATAATTGCTCCAACAATAATCAAAACCCAAGCTGGATCCAAATAGAATAGTGCCAATTGACTGTACAAATTGTTCTTTTCAAGGCGCGACCATAAACCGATACCTAACAAAAGAAAGCCGAGAGCCCAGAAAACAACGTTAAAACTGGACAAAATAAATTTTAATTACTTCGAGTTAAAAAGGGATATGGAAACAAATAAAGGGAATACTGAAAAGGAACCATCGCGAATTACCACCAAAAATTTTGCGATGAAACATACGCCATTGTGTAGAGCAGGGCCGATTTCCTATTCTAGTTTTTTTTTTCTTTTTTCGGTCTTACCCCCTAAATCAGAAAGTTATAGGGCTTCGAAGTAACACACCTCTTTTTCCTTTACTTTTTCCTTGACCATTTTTTACATTTCCTCTAGATAATCTAGAGTGTTGCAGAAGTCCTAACCTAAAACATGAATATCTTACTTTTGTAAGTCAGAAGAATGTCTACTTTGGAAAACAGTTAGGATTTGATATCTTGCTTCAGAAATTAAGGAAACAAATTGGGAAGAAAAAAAAGTAAAAATGATCAGGAAAAGTGAAAGAAAAAGGAAGAGACGTCAAAAAGGATGTCAAAAATGACGTCAACCATAATGTATTCCCCCATAAATTAATTTTAAATTATTGAAAATTAGAAAAAAAATTAGAAAATAAACCAACCCAAAAACTGTATATTTAACACAAAAACTAATTTCTGAACGATTCCTAGCTCGATTAATTACATTACGTCGTCTAGACACTGATCTACCCTTTAAAAAAATAAAATAAATAAAATTTAAATTAATTAAAAAATACCCCAAGATGATGTACAACATGCCCACGATGAACGCCTGTGTGATGCTGATGAGTAGTGTTGTTGTTAGTACGCCTACTTGCCATTGTAAAACTTGCTGTCCATTTAATTAAAATACAAGTAAAAATACAAGTCAGTCTAAAATTGTCTAAAAGGATTAGAGAAAAATAAATATAAACTTTCCGGAAAGAAAATAGAATATATTTACAATTGTAAAAATTAATTGTAAATATAGAGGAAAATAATCTTTCCGGAAAGGTATTAAAATAAATCAAAATTGTAAATAGACTTTCCGGAAAGAATTGCAATTGTAAATAGACAATTGTAAAAGATGAAAATTAATAAACTTTCCGGAAGAAAATTAAAAATTACAGCTGTATACTTTCCGGAAAGAATTTAAAAATATATTTACAATTGTAAATAGAAAAAGTAAAAAAACCTTCCGGAAAGAATTACAATTGTAAATAGACAATTGTAAAAATGAACCTTTCCGGAAGGAAATTAAAAATTACACCTATAACCTTTCCGGAAAGAAAATAGACTAAACTACAATTGTAAAAATTAATTGTAAATATAGCGGAAAAAAATCTTTCCGGAAAAAATTACAATTGTAAATAGACAATTGTAAGACTTTCCGGAAGAAAATAAACTTTCCGGAAAGAAAATTAAAACATAAATTACAATTGTAACGTTTCCGGAAAATAAAATAAAAAACACATTTACAATTGTAAATAGACAATTGTAAACGCAAATTGTAAACCCCTTCCCAAAGCACAAAATCAATAATGCGCGCATCTTTTTAATTAAACAAAATAAATATTTTTCGAAACGATCTTCTTCAAAAATAAATTGGCAACTTTCCAACTGGCTTTCCATTCTATTATGTCTAGTTGCCAATCGCCCCCTCCTTCCGTGCTTTAAGGCGGGAGAATTTTTTATTTCAGTCCACTCATTTCTTCATTATTTCAAATTTTGTTGCTGTCTGCCTCTCAACATTATAAATATAATGTCTGCTGACCAAATCACACTTTTATTTTCTCTCTCTGTTGACGACTGTTGCTCTCATGATTTTTTGTTTGCAGACATACAAACAAACAAACACATTTTTGCTCACGAGTCTAAAAAAGAAAGAAAAATATTCATACACAAGTGGTATGACTATACGCGTTTTTACTTACTCTTCTTTTTCCCAATTTTTCCGCGGATACACATTTTGCCAATTCGACATTTTGCCTATAAGGCTAAAAACACACATTTTGTCAGCAAACTTATTGACAAAATGTAAGTTTTTAGCCTTATTGGCAAAATGTGTACTTGGCAAAATGTGTCGACGCGCTTCTTTTTCGCGTCTGTCTCTTCTACATTTTTATATTCCCTTCTCTTTTCCCCTTTTTTCTTGAAACAAAAAAACTCTTGACTCTCTCTCTTTCTCAATCTTTTTTTTTGCATTCTTTAACTTGTCTACTCAGTCAGCCGCACTTATATATTTATGTGTGTGTTTGACTTGGATAACCAAGTGTTGCAAGCGGTGGCTGGCTTTTTTTTATTTTTGGCAGCTCGCCAAAACATTCTCTCTCCCCTTATTTTCCCAAAAGAGACACACGGCTTCCACACACACAAATATATACACTACCACACACTGGCGGCATCCAAAAATTTCCTCCAAAACAAAAATGCATGCCGGCAACTCTAATTTTTTAGTATATCATCATTGTTCCTTTCTGAACTCATTTGTTTTTGTGTGTGCTTTTCCCCAAACAGAGCTTTTCCCCAACAGAGCTTTTCCCCTCTTCCCCCCAAAAAAATAAAAAAAATATAATTTTTCTCTTCCTATTTATTTTTATTTTTTTTACTACCTAGTACCACCTGCCAGCTCTTAAGAAAATTTTTTTTTCTAAAAAAAATACTCGGCAAACAGAAACAAAACTAAAAATGTTTTTTCATTTTATTAGTCCTCCCCTCCCCTTCCTCCCCTTCCCTTCCTCTTTTAAGGCAACACAGACATTTTTTTTCTATTTATTTTTTGTTATACCCCATGACTAGCTATATGTTTGTCTATAGCGCGCGAGGTATTTGTTGCACTTTTCTATATAAACATTTATTTTTATATTTTTAAACCTCCAAAAAACTTTTTTCTTGATTATTGTACAAAGTACAAAAATTAGAAATTGATTGTGTGTACTATTTAAACGTTTCTCCTTATGTCTTCCCTCTTTTTTAACTGTCTACTATATCAATATCAAAACACAAATATCTGTCCTATTTTATTTTTAACTGAATATAGGCTTTTCTAGAAAGACCTGAAGCTTCAGTTTCCAAGTTGAAGCTTCCTGACCTCCTCATAAGCAATCCCCACCAATCTGAAACTGAAGTAAAATTAAAATAGAAACAGAACCTGACTTGGAAACTGAAGCTTCTTTGTTTCTATTTTGCTTCAGTTTCAGATTGGTGGGGATTGTTTATGGTGAGATTAGGAGATCTGTTGAGGCTTTAACTGAAGCTTTAGGTTTTTTTGCTTCATTGAAGCTTCAGGGTTTAAGCTTCAACTTGGGATCTAAGTAACCTAAGCCCACCAACTCGAGCAGAACTCGAATTTGAAGCTTCCGTTGCCCGTCCACTTGAAGCTGAAGCTTCAACTGGAGAGGTTTAAGTCAGCTAAAGCCCCAACTTTGAGCAGAAGCTTCAATTCAAATTTAAAGCTTCGACTTGGGGTCTAAGTCACCTAAGACCACCAACTCGAGTAGAAGCTTCGACTCGGGTTTGAAGCTTCCGTTATCCATCCACATGAAGCTGAAGCATAAATTGAAGCTTCAAACCTTAATTCCAGCGTCTCAAGTTTCAATTCACTTCCACTAACCACATTTTCTTTGAAATTTAACTTCAAAATTTCAGCTGATTCATCCCAAGTTTAAGCCAAAAAAATCATTAAAACCCCATAAAAATTCCAAAAATGTGTTTCAAAATTTTTTTCTTCTTCTAAAATTATCAAAAAAAGAATTTATTTCGGTGAATTGGCTGCCTTTTCGTAGGAGAAAGAAAAAAAAAGAAGGAATGATTAGTTTGATCTCTCACCCACGAAAAAATATTTTTTAAAGTATTTTTCTCTTCAAAAAACGTTCAGTTTTGTGTGTTATTCTCATCCAAAAAATTTCAAAAAAAAATAATTTTTTTTCTTCTCCTCCCATCTTTGTTTCTTGTTGGCTCGTATTCTTCGTCTCCTCCTCCTCCCCTTTTCTAATTCTTCCCCCTAAAAAATTTTTTTCTTCTTCCTCCCCCCAATTTTTTCTTCCTCCCCCCATTCTCCCCCCTTTTTTCTCCTCCTCTTCCTCTCCCCATTCCCCTCTTCTTCCCCCCATTCTTCCCTCCTCTTCTCCCCATTTTTCTTCTCCCCCCCATTCTCCCCCCATTTTTCTCCTCCTCTCATTTTTATATAAATATTTTTTTTTATTTTTCAATTTTCCCTCCTCTCTTTTTTTTAAATGCCACCACTGCGCTGTCTGCTTTTTTTTTGTTTGTTTGGTCAGTTGCCAATCACGTGAATGTCGCTTACGGCAAAATAACAAAACAAAAACATATATAGTGCCAAATAATAATCCCTTTTTCTCTCCTTCGTGTGGCATTTTTTTTCTAAAAGTCTCTTTAAAGCTTCTTAGTAGGAGGAAAGTACACTCGCTCATATAAGCCTTATTCCCGCCCTTTCCCTCAAAATAAAATTTTTTGCTTCTGTTCAGGTTAGGACATAATACCGTCCGACCAGAATACCGTCCACTCATTAGAGTAACAATTATCAGGGTAGACAAATTTTAAAATAAAATTTTTAGGCATAGGAGTAGAAGCAGAACCTGCTCATGGACACTCCGGTTCTTCCTCCCCAAATCTACAGAATGGTCAGACTTTTTCCTTTATTCCGTCCAACTTGCCCTTCTATATTTTGCCTATCTCCATCCCCCTTGGATGGAAGTAAGGAAAATTGAAGGAAGAAGTCTGACCATTCTGCAGATATATAGTAAGACCGTCTTAGGGTCTAAAAAGATACTTAAACAACACAATCTCGACATAAATCGAATTTATTATCTCCAAAAGGGGCAATGTTTCTACTCTAATTATTCGACGGTATTTTGTCTGGACGGTATTTTGCCCCTTGCTTGTTTCTGTTTTTTTATTTATGCGCTAATATAGAAGTAGCTACATTTTTATTATACTCTATTTACTATCATTCTCTTCTCTCTCTCTCTCTCCTTTTAAATATAAAATATCCAGAAAACTTTTCAGTCAGTCAGTCATTCATTTTACACGTCGTTGTGTCGTTTTGTTCTTTTGCCTTTTTTTAGGTTCCCTTCTTCCCTTCATTCATATCTTTTTCCCCTTTTTCTGTTTAATCACTTTTTTAAACTGCCAATAAATAAATATATACTTTTTAACCTTTTTTAAGATTAATTTGTGCTATTATTTTATCTTTTTTTCATTTGATGAAAATTTGCTTCAATTGGATAATAAGACTAAAAATAACTAGTAGTGTGTTTATGCTTCTTCTTCAATGCATGATTTAAGTCCAAATTTTATTAATCAACAACAGCAACAACAACAACGAATGGACAACAACAACAATAATATGGACAATTTCTGGTGGGGTTTTGATTTTTAAATTTTATTAAATTTAAATTTGGGTGGGGTGCCCAATAAATTAATGTTTAGGGTGAAACAGGTTTTTTGAAGCATAGTTGAGTTTGTTTCAAGTTTTAAGAATGTTTTTAGGAAAATAAAGTTTGCGTGAGTTTAAGTTTGTTTTTATTGTTGTTGAGTTTTTGAGATGTTTGTAAGATTATAAATGTTTTAGTCAAATGTTTTTGTGTTTTTAATATTTTCTGGTAATTTCAATGTTTTTGTTGGGATGTTTGGAAAACATGTTTTGTTAGGAGATTCTGATTTTTCTCTTCATGTTTTTATTTAATTCTGATTTTTTCCTTTATGTTTTTAGTAGATTCTGGTTTTTTCTTTTCATGTTTTTAATTAATTCTGATTTATTCTCTTCATGTTTTTAATTAATTCTGATTTTTTTCTTCTTGTTTTTGTTAAATTCTGATTTGTTTTCTTCATGTTTTTAATTAATTCTGATTTTTTCTTTTCATGTTTTTAATTAATTCTGATTTTTCCTTTAATGTTTTTAATTAATTCTGATATTCATAATGTTTATCAGCATGTTAGCTAGATAATTCTGATTTTTTCTTCCTGTTTTTAAATGTTTTTATGTTTTACATAGACTTTTAAAATATATAAACTTAGTAAGGCTGGTTTATTATTACTCATTATTTTACTAATATGTATGTTGTGTTTTATTTCCAACTTTTTTTCTCGCCAAACACTAAACTTAAGTTTTATTTAATGACTTCCTTGTTTTTTTTAAATTATTTATATGTTCGCCAAACTTTTTTAAATGTGTAAACTTTTGTTTTAAGAGAAGAGAATTGAATGTTTAGAGAGTAGGTGGTGTTTTTGAGTCTTGGGAGGTGTTTTTTATTCTTGTTAAGTTTGTGAGATGTTTGTAAGATTATAAATGTTTTTGTCGTATGTTTTTGTAATTTTGGTAATTAAAATGTTTTTGTTGGAATGTTTGGGAAACATGTTTTCCTAGTTTATTCTGATTTTTCTCTTCATGTTTTTAATTAATTCTGAAACTTGAAATGTTTAGAGAGTTGGTGTTTTTGAGTCTTGGGAGGGGTTTGCTGGGGGGGGGGGGGTTTGCTTGTCTTGGGAGGGGTTTTCTTGTGTAATTGTTATATTTTTGTGATTTTTTGTTCAATAAATTCGAAAAATTCTAAAAAAATTTTTTAAGCTTTTATGTCTCCCTAGCTATTTTTTATATTAATTTTTAAACTTAATAGTAAAAATACACTTTTGTGGGGGGATTTACATATAATTTTTATTTTTTAATTCTCTATCAAAAAAATATTTTTTTGATATTGTTTTTGAAAAATAAAAATATTTTTATTATTATTTTTTAAAATTAAAAACAAAAATATTTTTTTTTATTCGAGAAAATATTTTTAAAAAAAAATTTACATAATTAAACTTTTAAATAATTTTTTTTAAATTTTTTTCTGGTGTTTCAAAAAAATATTTTTTAAATTTTTTTTGAATGTTTATTTCTTCAATTTTTTTTTCAAAATATCTAATTTTCCCAGAAGAATGTAATTTTTTATTTTTTCTCTTTATTTTATTTTTAATTTAATTTTTACTCTTATATATTTTTGTTTTATTTAATTTTTTTCCTGGCGTCTGTCTTTTTTTTATTTTTGCAAAGATTTATTAACGTGGATATATCCAAATCGATTTTATTGCTAATAACTATTAAACACTCACTCCACATTCCTTTACTTCCTTTTTCCCTATAAAAAATAATAAATAATTATAGTTGGGGGGTGACTGATTAATTTTTTGTTGGGTGGATTTCCGGCTTGCCTTTTTTTGCGAGGGACCAATGATTGTGAGGGGGTGGGGGAATTTTTCTATTTTTGACGCCAAAAATTTTATAGGAAATAAATTTATTGATTTTTAAATTTTTTTTATTTTAAAAGAATTTTTTTTAATTTTTATTAAATTAAAAATTAAATAAACTTTGGGAATGTTTACATAATTTTTTTGAAACAAAAAAATTATTTTTTAAAAATTTTTAATACTTCCTTATTTTATTTTTAAATAATAATAAGGGGAGGGAAAATAGGGAACTTCCCTCCTTGTTTAAATTTTTTAAAATTAAATATTAAAATTTTTTAAAGCTAAGTATTTCCTCTAGATCGTTAATGTATTAAATATGTATGACCTATCCCTTCTTGTTGATATTTTTCTTAAAAAATTTTTTTAGACAAAGTCATTTCCTCTTGGGGTTGTCTCCCTCCTTGTTGATATTTTTTAAAAATTTTTTCCAACAAAATTTCAGTTCCTCTTTTTTGGGTTAATATAGTTTGATTGATTTTAATGTGATTGATTTTGATAATTTTAATATTGGAAAAAATTAATAAGTTTTTTTATTATCACCCCAAAATTTTTTTGATTTTTACATATGTAAGAAGTTGTGTCTTCCCTCTTTCCTCACATTGTTTTAACTCCTCTCCTGTTAACTACCTACTCTATATGGTCCTCCCAAAATTTTTTTTAATTGTAAAGGAAGTTCCCCTCACTGTTAATTTCTCTGTTTTTGGTGTTCATATTCTCTTCACATTTTTTCTCTTTTTCATGAGAGACCCTAAGATGATAATAATAATTTTTTAAAACAAAAAAATTAAAAAAATTTTTTTGTGTGATAGCGCGACGTATTTCCTCAAAAATGTGTGTGTGTATTTGTTGTGAGCGGTGGTTAAAAATGGTGGAACACTGAGAAAGAGAAAAAATATTTTTTTTTTGAATAAAATAAAGAGAATAATCACTTCCTCTACTAAAACTAAGACGACTGTTAATATCAATAATTTATTATTTTAAATTCGATTGGAATTTTTTTGAAAAAATTTTTTTGAAAAATTTTTTTTTGGGGGAAGACGACGAAAAGGTGTTGGAGGGAAAGACGTAGAGGGAGAAGAGGAGCGTAGAGAGGGCCACCTGCTAAAATATTAAAAAAAAAACAAAAAAAAATAAATATTTTAGTAATTATTTTTATGTAATAAAGCCCTTGAAAAGTGCAAATTACTCTTTTATTTATTTTTGTGTTGATTGCATGGAAAGAGGAGGAGAGTGTGTGTGTGTTTGATTGAAGGGAAAAAAGGTTTGAAATATTCGAGAAATTTGGGAGAAAAAATAAAAAATAAATTAATAAAGTTTAAAAAAAAGTAAAACGGAAATTTCGTAGAAGAATTATTAGAGGGTAAGGAGAGAGACTAAAAAAAAAGAATTTTTTGAAGATGAATAAGAAAAATTTTTTTTAAGTAGGATTAATGTTTGAGCGTGTTTATGATGTATGTTAAGTGATCAAATTAAAAAAAAATGTCTGTTAAAAAATTTGTATTAAAAAAAAATATATTTATTTAAATATATATGTTGCAATGTGTAGTTGCAAAAATGCTAATAAAAATATGTAGTACAAATAAAAAGAGAAAGATTTTGCAACACAAAATTGGAGAAAAAAAATTTTTTAAATAAAATCTGGGAATCTTTAATTCCCTAAATTTTGATTTTTTATGTCCTATATTTTTTATTTTTTTTTTTTTGATTTTTTATTTTAAATTTTTTGTATTTGTCTAAAGTGTAAAATCTTGCTTTAAAATTAATTTTGAAAAATTTTTTTTTAAAATTTTATTCTTTATATTTTAGAATTTGTCTTTTAAAATTTTTTAATTTTTGGACTTTCTGGGCTCTTCAATCAAAAAAAATTTTTTTAGTTGAAATTTTATCATTTTTACTGCTTTCTCAATCCATGCATTTTTATCATTCAATTTTTAGTCTTTTCAACATTTTTTGATATTTTTATCAATTGAGGTCATAAAAATTTATGTTTACTAACAAAATAAAAATTAAAATAAAAAAAACTTTTAAAAGCTAAAAATTATTTTTTTTTCTAAACTTTAAAGGACTCTTTTCAATTTTAATTTTTTTTTTTATTATTTTTCGTCTTTTTTTTTATTGTAAAATTTAGACACATGAAAGAAAAATTTAATAAAATAATTTTTAATAAAAATTTTTGCCACGAATATTTTTTTGTATCGTTAAACAAATCGGGCTAAAAAATTTTTTTGTCTATTTTCACGTGTGAAAAGGGGTAAATCCCTAAATATACAATAAAGGGCAAGTTTGATGTTGAGCAAACAAAAATTGTCAAAAATAAAAAATTTTTTAATAAAAAAAATTATGAAAAAGTTAGGGGGACAATATAATTTTTTAAGTTAATTTTCAAAAAAAAAATTAAAAAAATTGTTGACCTTCTTTATAAGTTACCCACCAATTATTGGATATCCTTTATATTTAAGTGGCGTTTTTTTTTTATTTTTTTTTGTTGGTTTTTACAGCCCTTTTGGTTACTAAGCGGAGTGAGCCCCTTGGTTGAATGAGCGATACCTCCCAAATTAGAATATACCTAACCTCATTATTAGCTTTAAATTATTAGAAGCCTGAGAGGGTTCAGTTTCACCGTTAACAAAATTTTTAAAATTAAAAATTTTTAAAATTTTTTTTTCAGCTGGCATATTTATAAGCAGCAATTACGGGCATCAGAATGCCGTCTTGTTGTATTTAGTGAAAAGGACACTAGACTTTTATATGACTCGGCAACTGTTGTAGCTTTGGCAGATCGTTTTGTTTTTGGATCACATTTGTCTCAATGTGGACGTTTTCAGGTTTTTTTGAAATTTATTTTTTTTAGGAAAATTTTTGGAAAATTCGAAAAGTTTTCAAAAAAATTTTTGAAATTTTTCGGAAATTTTGAAATTTTCAAGAAAAATTTTTTGAAAATTTTTGGGGTTTTTTTGTAAAAAATTTTCTGAATTTTTTGCGATTTTTTTGAAAATTCGCAAAAATTTTTAAAAAATTTTTGGAATTTTTCAAAAAATTTTTTTCTGATTTTTTGGGAAATTTTGAAATTTTTGGAAAAATTTTTTGAAAATTAAAAAAAATTTTTTAAAAATTTTTTAGAATTTTTGAAAAATTTTTAAAAATTTTCTAATTTTTTTTCAAGTTCCTACCACATAAATATGACACATTGAAAATTGCCAAAATGCTTTTTGGTACAATGCCGGCAGCTTTGAAGTCTGACTCTCTCAAAATACATACACTCAAGTATTTTTTTGAATTTTTAAAAATTGAAAAAAATTTTTTTAAAGAGACTCAAATTCAGTAATGATTTCAAGAGTGTTTTCTGTACCTAAACTTGGCAAATATTCTTCGACTACGTTTAAAACTAAGTTTGTTTTTATTTTTTAAATTTTTTTCTGGTAAATTACATTAATTTGGCGGACCTAAAAAGAAAATTCTTTTATGATTTTTGGGTTTATGAATTTAAGAGGGACTTGAAATTTTGGTTTTTCGGAAGTTGATCAACTTGCGTATTAAATTTGCGGATTTTATTCTAATAGTATAATTGTTTAAATAAGGGGGTCTTGGTTCGGTTTTTTTAAGATCATTTTTGATTTCCAAATATTTTCCTAGAATATAGATTTGTATTGGGGGTAAGTCCTTGATTATAAGCGGAATCCCAATTTATGTGGAAACCTTCACCAAAAACTTATTATTTTTTTATCGTCATTACGCCCTCTAAATAAGTCTCTTCTCTGAACCTCTTAAATTATTAAACCCAAAAATTCGAAAAATCTTTTTTTGTTAATTTGACTTATAAAGGGCCGTCCACCATTTTTGTAATTTCTTTTTCATTTTCCATCAAGCTTTTTTTCTAAACTTCTAAAAAAACTTTTTGCAAAATTTTTTCTTTTCTAGCGATATTTACAAATGTATGGTTGGAAGTTTAAGCTCAGATTCAGACAATCAATCAAATTATTCAACAATACGTTCACTTGATGGTATAGCTAATGCTTCTGCTACAACAGTTTCTACTTCAACAGCTCAACCTCCAAAAGATGAAGTTGATTTTTTAAATGGTGGCAATACTTCCTCAACTTCCTCCAAAACTTGTACAAAATTCCCCGTATTTATTTCGTCGTCTAAAAGTCCACCAACTTCAACTAATAACCATACGGATCCACCTGAAAATTTTGTTAGAGTTAGAAATTCTTCTCTTCAAATGGAAACGGCTGATGTTGATGTTTGTTGATTTTTTTTAAAAATTTTTTTTTGGATTTTTGAGAGGATAGAGGGGATACACTTGATGGATTTTGAGAGGATACACTCCCCCTTCCCCTGGTGTTGTTGTTCATGTTATGGAAAATTTTTCCTTGGAGTAGGAGATAAAATAGTCCCCCCACCCATCCCTTGTGATTTCTCCCGACGTTGCTTTTCATAATGAAGAAATTCAGATTGGATATAAGAAAAATTTTTTAAACCCTATTTGAGGGAATGGAGAGGGGGTTTTTTATGGGTTTTTAGTTTACACTCCCCCTCCCCTTGGTGTTGTTGTTCATTCCTTTCAACTTTATTCAGGGATAGGGGTTTTTCCAGTGATAATCATGTAGAATGGGAATTTTCAGATGATAAGAAAAAATTTTTTTCTAACAATAAGCTCTGAAAATGTGTTAAACACTGTTAGAGCACAATTGAGAATGTGTGCCCCCTATCTGCAATTTATTTATGGAATATATTTTTATTGTTTCTAGTCTATTGAGACAGACTTTGTTTAATTTAATTTCTGTTTCTTTAGGATATAATGGAAGAATTACGTGCCTTCTCACCCAACAGACTTTCACGTGCAAGAAGGTGTCAACTCTCACAAATTGGATTAGATGAATGTAAATTAAACATTTTTTTCTTAAATAATTTTTATTTTTTTTTCTAGCCCTTTCTCTTCGTTTAACAAATCGTAGCCGTTTAAGTAGTTGTTCGTCTATTGCAGATGTTTGTGGGGGTGGAATATTTAATGATGCATTTACTGAATGGCAACAATATGGATTTGCTATTTTATTACCTGGTTTTTTTTTTGAATTTTTTTTTTGAAGATTTTTTTGAAAAGTTGACATTTTGACATTCAAAAAAATTTTTTGAAAAATTTTTTTGACATTCTGAAAAGTTGACATTTCGACATCAAAAAAAATTTGAAAATTTTTTTTTATTTTCTGAAAAAATTTTTTTGAAAATTTCGAAAAGTTGACATTTTGACATTTAAAAAATTTTTTGAAATTTTTTTTGAAATTTTTCTTAAAAAATTTTTTTTCGACTTTTTGAAAAAGTTGACATTTTGACATCAAAAAAATTTTTTAATAAATTTTTTATTTAAAGTTGATTTTCGTTCGTTTGTCTTCCAACACATTCTTCAAATTGAACAAGAGCTCGATAAACTTGCAATACATATCCATAAAGCAGTTCAGGACAAAACACAATTCTTTCAATCAATTTATGAGGTTTTTTTATTTTTTTTTTAAATTAATTTAAATTTGAGAAATACTTGACCTATTGAAATTTTTCTCTTAGAAATTCCAAACTTTGGACACGGCCATAATTTGTGACCCAAAGTCATTTTATACAAGAAAACGTATATATCATTTGTCAATAGGGGAACTCAAGGGCAGTGCTGGGTATTTGCCATTTGTCGACTCCGGCTCCGGGGTTTTCAAAATCTTACTCCGCCGGAGCCATACAGGGGTCTTACTGAACGGTATACCAAATAAAAATTCGAATACCTTACTGACAGTTTAAGATCTTTATATTATATGAATAGAGGGAAGGTTCTTATCTTTCTCTCTCTTCACCCCCTTCCTGTATTCTTTCATCTATAAGAAAAAAGAAATTTTGACAAAAAAATAATAATTTTTTTAAAGGGTTGGACATCAACATGTCAATCACTTTGTTTGTTGTGTAATTCTTTAAGACTTAAAAATCCAGTATGGCAAAGTTTGGCATCAGCACAATATGCAAGTGTTGGAATGCACAAAATTGCTTCAAAATTTTGTTCTCAATTGGCACAATTAATTTGTGAATTTAATACAAAGGAAACTAAATTGTTTGTTTTTTTTTTTGAATTTTTTTTTTGAAAATATTTTAAACTCTTCCATTTTTAACATGAGTTAGTAACCCCTTTCTTCCCCTTTTCTTTCTTTCCCGTATCCCTTTTAAATAATTCAAAAAAATTTTTTTTAATTTAGGGTCAATTTTTGGGGTCAAACGCTAAACTCGGCACCAATTAAAAATTTTTCTTTTCGAGTCGAAAAAGGGTCTAGGTTTCTAATATCGGGTTTTTCGGGTACTTTGTGATATTCCTAGTTTTACAATTAAAAAAAATTTTTTTTCTTCTTCAGTTTCCTTTCAACATTATTATCTGCTGTTTTAATGAATCAATTGACTTGGGTTGCTAGTGTTGCACCACCAGAAAATTATTGTGGTTCAAATAATAATAATGATGGTGGAGATGATTATTCTCTTTTATTGGGAATGGTTTGTTTATTTTATTTCATAAAAATTAGGGGTTTGATCTTTGGTGGCTTTTTTTGATTTATATAATGGAATCCCTCTGCTTGTGAAATACTTTCACCTTTGAAATGAGAGCAGGGGGACCGATTCCAAACCACTTAAATAGGGCGCAACCACTCTAAAATGTGATGACAAAAATAGGGCGAAAATGTTCTAAAAATAGGGCAAATGGTCAATCTGGATCAGAGGGGGGTGGTGGGCAGTAGACTGTCCGAGACCGAAAATCTTCCAAGACTCAAGACCAAGACCCAAGATCAGGAGTCTCGGACAGCTCTAGTGGGCATGCATTTAACTCTGTTAAGATAAAAAATTTTTTTATTTTTTTTAAACTTAATTTCAAAAAATTTTTTTATTTAAAGAATTCTTCATTTAATAATCATCAAAATAACGGCAACAACAACAATAGCAAAATTAATTATTATAACCCAACGGTTGCACAACTTTTGGAACTTTATTATGGTGTTGGAACAACAGATTCTGTTTTGTCTGTTTCTGGACCTGAAGGAGGAGGAGGGAAAGATTTACACAACTCTTCAACAACAGCAACAAACAATTTTTGTAATAATAGCCAATTTACAAAAATTGTTGTTGTTGGGGATAAACCAGAAAAGATTGCTTTATTGTTACGTGTACTTTCGTATTTTGTTCGTTGTTCTTCTGTGGAAAGTAAAAGGAGTTATGGTTTGTGGATTTTTAATTTGTAAAATTTTTTCTGGGACATTTTGGGCAGTTGACATTTTGAAACTTTTTTCTAATTTTTCAAAATTTTTTCTGATTAAAAAAAATTTTTTTGTGGCATTTTGGGTATTTGACATTTCGAAAAAAATTTTTTTGGAATTTATAAAAATTTTTTTCAATTTTTCCAGAATTGTTGGCAGAATGTGGAACTTTCAAATTCAATGGAGAACCGCCAGAATTACACGATTTTGGACGTACTTTAATGGCTGGTGTTTGTAATGCTTATTCTCCACATTTTGTTCTTTCTGGTTTGTTTTTTTAATTTTTATTAAATTAATTTTTGATAAACTTATGTGAAACAAACAAAATTTTTTTTGAATTCCTTTATTATTCGTTTTATTCCAAAGGGACACGCTCAAGCAGCCGCAAAGTCATAACGGCGCAAAGTCATAACTTACTGGAAAATTTCTGGCCCTTATCGATTTTGGTACCAATCTTTTTAGCTTGATGGGAGGAACGTTTAATACAAAATTTTGTAAGAGATTCGGAAATCTTGAAGCAAGTTATGGCTTTGCGCCGTTATGGCCGCGCGCCTGCTTGGGCTGTACCCTATTTCAAATCAGTTGAATTACATTGTAGTTAAGTGCTAATTTTCTTTAGTTATTGTTTTTGGGGTTACCCTGTTGTTGATTTTATTTCACTTCCTTTTTAATTAAAAAAATTTTTTTTTAATTTTTGTTTAATTCAAATTTTTTTATTTTTTAAAGGTATACAAGTTCAATCTCCTCATTTAAACAACCAAAATCAACAAAAATTGACATCAAAATCATCTTTTTCAAAAATTATAACAAAGACAATGTCAACATCACCACTTTCCACCCATCCACCACAATTTACCAATTTATTATCAATAGATTCAATATTTAATACAATTTGTGAAGATGTTAGGCATCCAATGGGGGAGCCTTGTTTAAATAGCCAAATTTCTGCTTTGTTGAATAATTCAAGTTCTTCAAATGGAAGTGGTTGTTTATCATCACCTACAACAACTACAAATACAACTACAGCTAATACAACACAAACAACAAATTCGTTATGTATAGACCATTCTAATTTGTTGTTAATGTCTAAAAATGTTGTTGAAGATTGTGGGGGAATTGAGGCAAGAAAGTTTTCGATTGGACAACTTAGTAAGGGGATAAGTGGAGGTGGAAGTGTTAATGGTGTTTCTCCGTCTTGTGTTTCGACTGGTGCTGCTAAAGGTTTGAAAATTTTTTTAAAGAATTTTTTTTCGCTAGGGTATTGTCCGCAACCAAAAAAGTCCGCAAAATTTTTTGTCCGCAAAAATAATTTTTAATTTTTTTTTGAATAAATTTTTAATCAAACTTGCGGATAAAATAATGCGGATTTTGCTAGTTTAAAATGTTTCTTGATTTGAAAATAAAATTTTTTGTTTCTAGCAACTACAAGTCCAAAGAAGCACAATAATGTGAATGCTAATAATTGTTGTTCAACAACGACACCTATAATGACAAAAAGTTCTTCTTTGGTTATATTTATTGATATGTGCAATTTAGACGTTCGGGTATGTTGTGAAAAATATTTTTTGAAGAAAAAGTTTTTTCCGAATTTTTTTGCGAAATTTTGCATTTTTACGAAATTTCGATTTTTTTCAAAATTTCGCATTTTTTCCGAAATTTCGCATTTCGAAAAATTTTTGTAAAAAAATTTTTTTAGCCCCTAAAAAATTTTTTTCCTTTTAAAAAATAGATTATTACCTCTGACAAATGTCAAGTTGATGATACTCGTTTTGTTTGTCCTTCTGATGCTGTTACTTCAATGCTTGAAGAATTTGCTGAATTATATCAGTAAATTTAAATTTTTTTGAAATTTTTTTAAAAATTTATTTTAAAGGTATAAATGTGCTCCAGACTTTCTTTTATCATTCCTTGAAGACCATTTGGTATCTCTTCTTGATAAATCTAATGTTCTCGTTAATTTGGTTAAAACTACTGGTAAATTTTTTTTTTTGATTTTTTAAATAATTTTTTGAAGAGAAAAATTTTTGGGGTTGGGGTTTCAATAATTTTTCTGAAATTTAGTCTTAAAATCCGCAACTTTTTTTATCCGGAAATTTATTTTTTTAATTTTTTTTTTGGTTCAAGGTTTGGGGCATTTATGAAATTTATAGTACTAGACGGCTTGCTTTTGACTCCCCCCCCCCTTCCTCCCCAAAAATAATTAAAAAATAATTCTGACTTGCGGACATATAAAGTTGCGGACATTTAAAAAAATATTTTTTAATTAATTTTTAATTTTTAAAGACATTAATGATCCTCTCCCAATGGAAAAAGTTTCATCAATTTTGGGATGTGATTGTTCTGATCTTCGCCTTATATTAAACATTGCTGGTGTATATTCTCCAGATGTTTTGGCGACTGCTTGCTAATCGAGTGAAAATTAATTGTAAAAATATTTTGTTTTAAAAATATTTAAAAAAAAGAGGGCTTATTTTAAATTAAAAAAATTGAGAGAGACTGCCAATATACAAAAAAAATTATTATTTATTTTTTTTTCTCTTAAAAATAAAAAATTATAAAAAAAATCTACCTTCTTATTAGAGAGGTAGAGAGATTTAAAAGAGGTATATAAAGGTGCTTATTATTTAAAAAAATATATATTCTCTCTCCTATAAATGTAAAAATTTTTTTAAAATATTTTAAAAAATCCTTCCCCAAAAATAGAGAATAGATATAAATAAATGTCTATACACAATATATATTATTTTGTTTGTTTGGCAAATTTTCACAATTTATATATATTTGTTTTGTTTCTTTCATTTATTGTTTTAAATAAAAATAAACACAAAATATTATTTAAGGGGGATCGAACCAGAAAAACATTTTTAAAGAGATGTTTTTATTTTATTCTGATTTTTAATGAGTATAAAAACATGTGTTTTTGATAATTGTTTTGTGTTTTTGAGTTTTAATTTGTTTGTGTTTTTGTTTTGTAGTTGTTCTGATTTTGTAATTGTTTGTGTATTTTTTTGTGTTGTAATTTAATTCTGATTTTTATTTAATGTGTTTTTGTTGTTATATTCTGATTGTTGTAAAAGTTTTTATTTCTGTTTTTATTCAGATTTTTATTTAATGTTGTAATCTAATTCTGATTTTTGTGGATGTTTGTGTTCTTGTTTGTTTTTGTGTTTTTGTTGCATTCTGATTTTCGTTAATGTTTGTGTTTTTGTCTTTATTCTGATTTTTGTGGATGTTTGTGTTTTTGTTTGGTTTTGTGTTTTTATGGTTGTTTTTGTTGCGTTCTGATTTTTGTTAATGTTTGTGGTTTTGTATGGTTGTGTTTTTATTCTGATTTTTAATTTTGTATTTTTTCTGTTTAATTCTGATTTGATTATTTAAGTTCGATCCCTCCAATAATATTTACTTTGAATAAAATTTGTGTTTTCTTTTTCTCTTTTGCATTAAAATGCTCTCTAGAAACTTTAACGGTATATAAAGTAAATTTACGGAAATTAAATTTTTTCTAAATTTTAATTTTCTGAAGGTTTTTATCGAAAAAAAATATTTTTTAAAAATAAAATTTTAACAATTTTTGAAATTTACAAAAATTATTTTCTCTTTCTAAATATAAAAACGCTCCAATTAACACCTTTTCTTATTTGTTTTTCCCTCGGTTATTTATTATTAATTTTATTTTTAAAAAATTTGCTCATGGAATGCGCCATGTTTTAAAATTTATTTTAAAAGAATTTATGAAACTGAAAATTCTGAAAAAAAATTTTTTTTTAATTTTTTGGAATCTGAAAAAAATTTTTTTGGTCAGAATTTTTCTCGAAAAAAAATATTGCGCAGTTAATTATTTTAAAAAATTTAATATTTTTTTTCTATATATACTATAGAATACCACAGACTTCTCTCTCTCCTAAAAAATTATATTTATAAATATATTTTGTATATAATATTTTTTATTTATTTTTTAATTTACAAATTGCCGCATATATAAAGACGCTCATATACATTGTATTATAATTAAAAAAAATTTTTTTTTGAGGATTGAAAAATTTTGAAAAATAAAATAAAATTCAATCTTTTTAAAAAAATATATTTATATTTAATATTTTTATTTATATACGTATCTACATACACTTTATGTTTATACTCAGACCTTTCAGGCCACTTTAAAAATTTTTTTCTTGGTTATCTCAATTTTTTTCCAATATTTTAAAGGACCGACTATACACTGCTCCACATAATTATAAGTCCACCCCTTTTTTCGGGATTTTTTGACTTCCAATGATCCAAATTTTCTGAAAATTTAGAAACACACCTTTTAGTGAATAACTAACAAGATGTGAATCGATTTTTGGCTGATTTTTTATTCAAAAAATTTTTAGACCAAAATTTGCATTTTCGGCCTCCACAAAATTATAAGTCCACTTTTCAAAAAAGATATTTCCAAGTTTAGGAAAAATCTACAAAAATTCTAGCAAAGATACATAATGATATTATGGAAAAATAAAAAAGATCTAGACTCATATCCTTACCCGGAGCCGAGATCCTGAGACCTCGAAAATCAACGTAAAACGGGGGTAAGGCTCTTTGAAAAAATTTTTCGACCCCTTATCGATTATTTTCAATTTTGATTTTGGGCTCATTCGAAAGCCCTTGAAATTTGCTACAAGATAGCATTAATGATATTTTATAGAAAATTCGATTAGAAAGATACGGGCCGTTAATCTTCTGATGCAGCAAAAATCGTCTAAATGCCCCATAAAATTCCCTTTAATGACACTTAGAAAGTTTATCGTCTTGTGTCTCTCTATGGAATTTTTCTGAGAAATAAGACTAATGCTATCTTGTAGCAAATTTCAAGGGCTTTCGAATGAGCCCAAAATCAAAATTGAAAATAATCGATAAGGGGTCGAAAATTTTTTTCAAAGAGCCTTACCCCCGTTTTACGTTGATTTTCGTGGTCTCGGGATCTCGGCTCCGGGTAAAGATATGAGTCTAGTTCTTTTTTATTTTTCCATAATATCATTATGTATCTTTGCTAGAATTTTTGTAGATTTTTCCTAAACTTGGAAATATTTTTTTTGAAAAGTGGACTTATAATTTTGTGGAGGCCGAAAATGCAAATTTTGGTCTAAAAATTTTTTGAATAAAAAATCAGCCAAAAATCGATTCACATCTTGTTAGTTATTCACTAAAAGGTGTGTTTCTAAATTTTCAGAAAATTTGGATCACTGGAAGTCAAAAAATCCCGAAAAAAGGGGTGGACTTATAATTATGTGGAGCAGTGTATTTATAAGGGAATGATGCTCTAATTTTTAAGTTTACAATTTAAGTTTAAAGTTTTTACAATTTGTAAAACTTTAATTTCTAAGAGACATTGAAAATTTACAAATTGTAAAATAAATAAATTTGAAAATAAATATTAGACTTGAATTGTGAAGTTTGTATTTTATAAACAAGTTTTTACAATTACAAATTTAATAAAACTTGAATTTGTAAAATTCAAGTTTTAATTTTTTACAATTTGTAAAAACTTTAATTTCTCAAAAATAAACTTGAAAACTTAAAGAGTACAAATTGTAAAAACTTAAGTTTCGGAAACTTGAGATTGTAAAACCCTAAACTTGAAACAAAAGTTGAAACAAAACCAAAACTTGAAACAAAAGTTTCAGGCATCAATCCCTTATTTTTATAAAAGAACTTGTGTAAATAATTGCCGGGGAGTTTTATTATTATTATTTTATTTATATATATATATATATTTTGTCCTGCTCAACTGCCTTATATATAATTAAGTATTTGTGTATTAATAATATATTCAAGAAGCAAATTTTATTTTTATTTTATTATTATATATCACATTATATATATTTTTTTGGAATTTAAAAAGGAAAATAAAATAATAAATTTTGTTTGAAAATTATTTTTTATTTAAAAAATTTTTTAATTAATTTTAAAAAATATTTTAATTTTTGAATTAATTTTAATGGATAATTTTGATAGTTGATAGCAAAAAATATTAAGAATGTCATTAGCTCTCCTAACTATCTTTAGTTGCAGTTTAAATACAATTGCAATTGAAGCATTTACAAAGTTGGTTTATCTCTTTTTAAGATTAAACTTGAATTTGTAATTAAACTTGGATTGCATACTTATTTATTTTAAATCAGGGCTCGGATCGTCAAAATGCCAATAAAAAGTACAAAAATCTTGATTTTAAAGTACATAGGGGCAAAATTTGCACATTTAAAGTACACTCAAAATTAAATTAGAAAATATTTATTCGTGCTCAAATCTTTTATATTTCTCTCTTAAATTAATCTTTTCTAATAATTTCTTGTTTCAACTTAGCATTTAGTGAATTTCAATGCACTTTTTTGTGGAGCCGAAGGCTCCAAAAAATCTATTTTTTTTGCGCCGCAGGCGAAAATTTTGAGAAATTTGGGGGTCCTTAAGCCAGATTTCTTCCATTTTTTGCGCCGCAGGCGAAAATTTTGAGAAATTTGGGGGTCCTTAAGCCAGATTTCTTCCATTTTTTGCGCCGCAGGCGAAAATTTTGAGAAATTTGGGGGTCCTTAAGCCAGATTTCTTCCATTTTTTTCAAAATGTTGATTTTAAAGTACATACTTTCAATAAAGTACAAATTCAATTTCGTAAGTACGGAGGTCGATTTTAAAGTACTGTACTTTCAAATAAAGTACGAATCCGAGCCCTGTTTTAAATATAAGAAACTTAAGTTTTACAATTTGTAAAAATATAAAACTTGGATTACAAAAAGAAGAAAGTTCAAACTTGAATTTTTACAAATTCAAGTTTTAAAGTTTTAAGTTTGTAAAAATATAAGGTTAAGTTTTAAGTTTTACAATTTGAGTTTTTACAAGTTTTTAAAACATAGGTTTTACAATCTAAGTTTTACAATTTGTAAAAATATAAAACTTGGATTGTAAAAAGAAGAAAGTTCAAACTTGAATTTTTACAAACTTAAGTTTTATTAAATATAAAATTGTAAAACTTTAAATAAAGTATATAAAAATTACAATCCAAGTTTTACAAATTGTAAAAAGTTTATTTATTCTCCTTTAAGTTTAATTGGTCGTTCTACACTTAGCTTTTTAACATTTGCAACATTTTTGTTTATGGTAATTAATGGGTTGTTGAATAAACAAATATTTTTAAGAAGGCATATTCCTTTAAGGTTTTTAATTTTTTTAAATTTAAAATTTAATTTAATCTTTCAGTTCTTATGTGTTAATTACTCTAATATTTTTTGTTGTCAGTTTAGCGAATAATTGGGTTATTGGACTAGGCGTTCCTTTCCCTTTAATTATTGTTTCACGCTCTGTTAGTTGCTTCTAACAATTTTTAAAAATTAAAAAAATTTTTTTTCAAAGGGTACCCTAGTAGCTAATGTCCTCTTAACCTTTCTACTTCAAAATAGAAGGTATTCGACTAGCAGGATTGCTTCAATTTTGGCTGTTACTTTAGGGATAACTTGCTTCACTTTATATAGTCAACAACCAATTTTATCAATTGAAGAAAATAATTTTGGATTCCCCATTATATTTTTTGGAATTTTAATTTTATTCCTGTCAATGTTTGCTTCGGCCTATTTGGGTATTTTACAAGAAAACATTTTTGCTAAATATGGAAAATACCCAGAAGAAATGATGTTTTATGTGGTAAATAATTTAAAATAAAATTAATTTTAAAATTTATTTTTGGCATCTTCTCTCACTCCCTCTTTTTGTTTTTGTTGGTAATGAAATTTTAAATGATTTTAATTTTTATTGGAATGCTTCAAATAAAATATTAATGTTCGGATTTGTGGGTGCTATTATTTGTTTACAGTTAAGTTTTTTTAAGTTTGTAAAAATGTTTCAAGTTTGGAAATGTTTCAAGTTTGTAAAAATGTTTCAAGTTTGCGAATATTTTGTAATTTCCGGAAAAGTTTTATTTTCGTTTTAATATTTTAATTACCCGGTTTCTATTTTCTTTCCGGAAAGTTTAATTTATTTTTATTTGTTCCGGAAAGTTGGTTTTCCAAGTTTTATTTATTTCCAAGTTTTCCGGAAAGTTGTAATAAGTTTTACAATTCTTCGAAAATAAAGTTGTAACAATTACAAATTGTAAAAAGGTGTATTTTAGTTTCCGGAAAGTGTATTTTCAAGTTTTGTATTTTTGCCAAGTTTTACAACTCTAATAAAGTTTATTTAAAATAAAGTTGCAACAATTACAAATTGTAAAAAGTTTTATTTAGAAAAATAAATAAACTTTTTACAATTTGTAATTGTTTCAACTTTCTTTTTAAATAAACTTTACAAATTGTAAAAAGTTTTATTTTTCCAGGTTTATTTGTATTCAAAGTGTTTACCGTCTAACTTCAACATTAAATTCCTTACAAATTACAATGCTTCTAACACTCCGAAAATTTCTAAATATTTTCTTTTCAATTTTATTATTTAAACATAATTTTGATTGGCAACATTATTTATCGTCATTGTTAGTTTTAATTGGAACTTTTACTTTTTATGAAGGGCATAAGAAGGTTATTGAATGGATGAGACTTGGAAGAGGAGAGGAAAGTGAGGAGGAAGAAAGGAAGGAGAAGAAAATATAAATTTTGGGAAAAAATTGTGTTGTTTTTTGTATTAATATGTATCGAAAGTAAATGCTCAAAAATTTATTTTTTTTTTTAAATTGTGATTGGAAAATCGTAAAAATATTTTTTTATCTGAAAGATCATTAAAAAGTTACAAGTCGATAAATGCAAGAAATCGTCGTTATCAAATTCTACATCGTTGTGGTTGTGGATTGAGTCCGGCACATGACAAGCAGAGTTTAGGCTAATCTTAAAAATAAATGAAAAAATAAAGATAAATTCTTACCAGTTTATGGTGCCCATTCTCTGAGAAAGTTTTCACTGTCCGGATGTATATATTATTATTTCTTCTTGTATTAGACAGAAGGGATTAGAGATTAACACTGGGTAAATATGTATTTTTTAATGTTTAAAAGCCCCCTAAGCAGGGGGCAGGTCACATGTACAAAACGGCACATGGACACTCCAAAAATGGCCCCCTGCACAAGGCAGGGGGACTTGAGTTGCCCCCTGCACGAGGCAGGGGGACTTGAGTTGCCCCCTGCACGAGGCAGGGGGACTTGAGTTGCCCCCTGCACAAGGCAGGGGGACTTGAGTTGCCCCCTGCACGAGGCAGGGGGACTTGAGTTGCCCCCTGCACGAGGCAGGGGGACTTGAGTTGCCCCCTGCACGAGGCAGGGGGACTTGAGTTGCCCCCTGCACGAGGCAGGGGGACTTGAGTTGCCCCCTGCACGAGGCAGGGGGACTTGAGTTGCCCCCTGCACGAGGCAGGGGGACTTGAGTTGCCCCCTGCACGAGGCAGGGGGACTTGAGTTGCCCCCTGCACAAGGCAGGGGGACTTGAGTTGCCACCTGCACGAGGCAGGGGGACTTGAGTTGCCCCCTGCACGAGGCAGGGGGACTTGAGTTGCCCCCTGCACGAGGCAGGGGGACTTGAGTTGCCCCCTGCACGAGGCAGGGGGACTTGAGTTGCCCCCTGCACGAGGCAGGGGGACTTGAGTTGCCCCCTGCACGAGGCAGGGGGACTTGAGTTGCCCCCTGCACGAGGCAGGGGGACTTGAGTTGCCCCCTGCACGAGGCAGGGGGACTTGAGTTGCCCCCTGCACGAGGCAGGGGGACTTGAGTTGCCCCCTGCACGAGGCAGGGGGACTTGAGTTGCCCCCTGCACAAGGCAGGGGGACTTGAGTTGCCCCCTGCACGAGGCAGGGGGACTTGAGTTGCCCCCTGCACGAGGCAGGGGGACTTGAGTTGCCCCCTGCACGAGGCAGGGGGACTTGAGTTGCCCCCTGCACGAGGCAGGGGGACTTGAGTTGCCCCCTGCACGAGGCAGGGGGACTTGAGTTGCCCCCTGCACGAGGCAGGGGGACTTGAGTTGCCCCCTGCACGAGGCAGGGGGACTTGAGTTGCCCCCTGCACGAGGCAGGGGGACTTGAGTTGCCCCCTGCACGAGGCAGGGGGACTTGAGTTGCCCCCTGCACGAGGCAGGGGGACTTGAGTTGCCCCCTGCACGAGGCAGGGGGACTTGAGTTGCCCCCTGCACGAGGCAGGGGGACTTGAGTTGCCCCCTGCACAAGGCAGGGGGACTTGAGTTGCCCCCTGCACGAGGCAGGGGGACTTGAGTTGCCCCCTGCACGAGGCAGGGGGACTTGAGTTGCCCCCTGCACGAGGCAGGGGGACTTGAGTTGCCCCCTGCACAAGGCAGGGAGACTTGAGTTGCCCCCTGCACGAGGCAGGGGGACTTGAGTTGCCCCCTGCACGAGGCAGGGGGACTTGAGTTGCCCCCTGCACGAGGCAGGGGGACTTGAGTTGCCCCCTGCACGAGGCAGGGGGACTTGAGTTGCCCCCTGCACGAGGCAGGGGGACTTGAGTTGCCCCCTGCACGAGGCAGGGGGACTTGAGTTGCCCCCTGCACGAGGCAGGGGGACTTGAGTTGCCCCCTGCACGAGGCAGGGGGACTTGAGTTGCCCCCTGCACGAGGCAGGGGGACTTGAGTTGCCCCCTGCACGAGGCAGGGGGACTTGAGTTGCCCCCTGCACGAGGCAGGGGGACTTGAGTTGCCCCCTGCACGAGGCAGGGGGACTTGAGTTGCCCCCTGCACGAGGCAGGGGGACTTGAGTTGCCCCCTGCACGAGGCAGGGGGACTTGAGTTGCCCCCTGCACGAGGCAGGGGGACTTGAGTTGCCCCCTGCACGAGGCAGGGGGACTTGAGTTGCCCCCTGCACGAGGCAGGGGGACTTGAGTTGCCCCCTGCACGAGGCAGGGGGACTTGAGTTGCCCCCTGCACGAGGCAGGGGGACTTGAGTTGCCCCCTGCACGAGGCAGGGGGACTTGAGTTGCCCCCTGCACGAGGCAGGGGGACTTGAGTTGCCCCCTGCACGAGGCAGGGGGACTTGAGTTGCCCCCTGCACGAGGCAGGGGGACTTGAGTTGCCCCCTGCACGAGGCAGGGGGACTTGAGTTGCCCCCTGCACGAGGCAGGGGGACTTGAGTTGCCCCCTGCACGAGGCAGGGGGACTTGAGTTGCCCCCTGCACAAGGCAGGGGGACTTGAGTTGCCCCCTGCACGAGGCAGGGGGACTTGAGTTGCCCCCTGCACGAGGCAGGGGGACTTGAGTTGCCCCCTGCACGAGGCAGGGGGACTTGAGTTGCCCCCTGCACAAGGCAGGGGGACTTGAGTTGCCCCCTGCACAAGGCAGGGAGACTTGAGTTGCCCCCTGCACGAGGCAGGGGGACTTGAGTTGCCCCCTGCACGAGGCAGGGGGACTTGAGTTGCCCCCTGCACGAGGCAGGGGGACTTGAGTTGCCCCCTGCACGAGGCAGGGGGACTTGAGTTGCCCCCTGCACGAGGCAGGGGGACTTGAGTTGCCCCCTGCACGAGGCAGGGGGACTTGAGTTGCCCCCTGCACAAGGCAGGGAGACTTGAGTTGCCCCCTGCACGAGGCAGGGGGACTTGAGTTGCCCCCTGCACGAGGCAGGGGGACTTGAGTTGCCCCCTGCACGAGGCAGGGGGACTTGAGTTGCCCCCTGCACGAGGCAGGGGGACTTGAGTTGCCCCCTGCACGAGGCAGGGGGACTTGAGTTGCCCCCTGCACAAGGCAGGGGGACTTGAGTTGCCCCCTGCACGAGGCAGGGGGACTTGAGTTGCCCCCTGCACGAGGCAGGGGGACTTGAGTTGCCCCCTGCACGAGGCAGGGGGACTTGAGTTGCCCCCTGCACAAGGCAGGGAGACTTGAGTTGCCCCCTGCACGAGGCAGGGGGACTTGAGTTGCCCCCTGCACGAGGCAGGGGGACTTGAGTTGCCCCCTGCACGAGGCAGGGGGACTTGAGTTGCCCCCTGCACGAGGCAGGGGGACTTGAGTTGCCCCCTGCACGAGGCAGGGGGACTTGAGTTGCCCCCTGCACGAGGCAGGGGGACTTGAGTTGCCCCCTGCACGAGGCAGGGGGACTTGAGTTGCCCCCTGCACGAGGCAGGGGGACTTGAGTTGCCCCCTGCACGAGGCAGGGGGACTTGAGTTGCCCCCTGCACGAGGCAGGGGGACTTGAGTTGCCCCCTGCACGAGGCAGGGGGACTTGAGTTGCCCCCTGCACGAGGCAGGGGGACTTGAGTTGCCCCCTGCACGAGGCAGGGGGACTTGAGTTGCCCCCTGCACGAGGCAGGGGGACTTGAGTTGCCCCCTGCACGAGGCAGGGGGACTTGAGTTGCCCCCTGCACGAGGCAGGGGGACTTGAGTTGCCCCCTGCACGAGGCAGGGGGACTTGAGTTGCCCCCTGCACGAGGCAGGGGGACTTGAGTTGCCCCCTGCACGAGGCAGGGGGACTTGAGTTGCCCCCTGCACGAGGCAGGGGGACTTGAGTTGCCCCCTGCACGAGGCAGGGGGACTTGAGTTGCCCCCTGCACGAGGCAGGGGGACTTGAGTTGCCCCCTGCACGAGGCAGGGGGACTTGAGTTGCCCCCTGCACGAGGCAGGGGGACTTGAGTTGCCCCCTGCACGAGGCAGGGGGACTTGAGTTGCCCCCTGCACGAGGCAGGGGGACTTGAGTTGCCCCCTGCACGAGGCAGGGGGACTTGAGTTGCCCCCTGCACAAGGCAGGGAGACTTGAGTTGCCCCCTGCACGAGGCAGGGGGACTTGAGTTGCCCCCTGCACGAGGCAGGGGGACTTGAGTTGCCCCCTGCACGAGGCAGGGGGACTTGAGTTGCCCCCTGCACGAGGCAGGGGGACTTGAGTTGCCCCCTGCACGAGGCAGGGGGACTTGAGTTGCCCCCTGCACGAGGCAGGGGGACTTGAGTTGCCCCCTGCACGAGGCAGGGGGACTTGAGTTGCCCCCTGCACGAGGCAGGGGGACTTGAGTTGCCCCCTGCACGAGGCAGGGGGACTTGAGTTGCCCCCTGCACGAGGCAGGGGGACTTGAGTTGCCCCCTGCACGAGGCAGGGGGACTTGAGTTGCCCCCTGCACGAGGCAGGGGGACTTGAGTTGCCCCCTGCACGAGGCAGGGGGACTTGAGTTGCCCCCTGCACGAGGCAGGGGGACTTGAGTTGCCCCCTGCACGAGGCAGGGGGACTTGAGTTGCCCCCTGCACGAGGCAGGGGGACTTGAGTTGCCCCCTGCACGAGGCAGGGGGACTTGAGTTGCCCCCTGCACGAGGCAGGGGGACTTGAGTTGCCCCCTGCACGAGGCAGGGGGACTTGAGTTGCCCCCTGCACGAGGCAGGGGGACTTGAGTTGCCCCCTGCACGAGGCAGGGGGACTTGAGTTGCCCCCTGCACGAGGCAGGGGGACTTGAGTTGCCCCCTGCACGAGGCAGGGGGACTTGAGTTGCCCCCTGCACGAGGCAGGGGGACTTGAGTTGCCCCCTGCACAAGGCAGGGAGACTTGAGTTGCCCCCTGCACGAGGCAGGGGGACTTGAGTTGCCCCCTGCACGAGGCAGGGGGACTTGAGTTGCCCCCTGCACGAGGCAGGGGGACTTGAGTTGCCCCCTGCACGAGGCAGGGGGACTTGAGTTGCCCCCTGCACAAGGCAGGGGGACTTGAGTTGCCCCCTGCACGAGGCAGGGGGACTTGAGTTGCCCCCTGCACGAGGCAGGGGGACTTGAGTTGCCCCCTGCACAAGGCAGGGAGACTTGAGTTGCCCCCTGCACGAGGCAGGGGGACTTGAGTTGCCCCCTGCACGAGGCAGGGGGACTTGAGTTGCCCCCTGCACGAGGCAGGGGGACTTGAGTTGCCCCCTGCACGAGGCAGGGGGACTTGAGTTGCCCCCTGCACGAGGCAGGGGGACTTGAGTTGCCCCCTGCACGAGGCAGGGGGACTTGAGTTGCCCCCTGCACGAGGCAGGGGGACTTGAGTTGCCCCCTGCACGAGGCAGGGGGACTTGAGTTGCCCCCTGCACGAGGCAGGGGGACTTGAGTTGCCCCCTGCACGAGGCAGGGGGACTTGAGTTGCCCCCTGCACGAGGCAGGGGGACTTGAGTTGCCCCCTGCACGAGGCAGGGGGACTTGAGTTGCCCCCTGCACGAGGCAGGGGGACTTGAGTTGCCCCCTGCACGAGGCAGGGGGACTTGAGTTGCCCCCTGCACGAGGCAGGGGGACTTGAGTTGCCCCCTGCACGAGGCAGGGGGACTTGAGTTGCCCCCTGCACGAGGCAGGGGGACTTGAGTTGCCCCCTGCACGAGGCAGGGGGACTTGAGTTGCCCCCTGCACGAGGCAGGGGGACTTGAGTTGCCCCCTGCACGAGGCAGGGGGACTTGAGTTGCCCCCTGCACAAGGCAGGGGGACTTGAGTTGCCCCCTGCACGAGGCAGGGGGACTTGAGTTGCCCCCTGCACGAGGCAGGGGGACTTGAGTTGCCCCCTGCACGAGGCAGGGGGACTTGAGTTGCCCCCTGCACAAGGCAGGGAGACTTGAGTTGCCCCCTGCACGAGGCAGGGGGACTTGAGTTGCCCCCTGCACGAGGCAGGGGGACTTGAGTTGCCCCCTGCACAAGGCAGGGGGACTTGAGTTGCCCCCTGCACGAGGCAGGGGGACTTGAGTTGCCCCCTGCACGAGGCAGGGGGACTTGAGTTGCCCCCTGCACGAGGCAGGGGGACTTGAGTTGCCCCCTGCACGAGGCAGGGGGACTTGAGTTGCCCCCTGCACGAGGCAGGGGGACTTGAGTTGCCCCCTGCACGAGGCAGGGGGACTTGAGTTGCCCCCTGCACGAGGCAGGGGGACTTGAGTTGCCCCCTGCACGAGGCAGGGGGACTTGAGTTGCCCCCTGCACGAGGCAGGGGGACTTGAGTTGCCCCCTGCACGAGGCAGGGGGACTTGAGTTGCCCCCTGCACAAGGCAGGGGGACTTGAGTTGATGTGAAGATGACGAGGTGTTGTTGTTGGAGTTGGAAGAGTCCGATATTGATGATTTGTCTGAGTCATCCGACGAGGAAGAATCTGTCGAAGACGAGTCTAAAAAAAGGACAATAAATACAAAAAAAAAGATATTCAAAAAAACCGGTAATATTGAAGAGTATTGGCCCCATTTTTTCCTCCCTAATTTTCCCCCTATATTTTTTATAAATGGTCAGACTTTTTCCTTCCTTCCATCCAACTTGCCTTTATAATTTTTGCCTTGAAACAAGGAAAAAAGATTATTTTTGATATTTTATTCCCCGTTTTAATAGAGAAAATGATCTTCTCAAAACTCATACTTGTTAAATACCAAAAAAACTTTTTTCTTTGTTTCAAGGCAAAAATTATAAAGGCAAGTTGGATGGAAGGAAGGAAAAAGTCTGACCATTATGTAAAAATATAGGGGGAAAAATAGGGAGAAAAAAATGGGGCCCATACTCTTCAATATTACCAAAAAACCTGATGAATCTGAATCAGATGAAGACTTCTCCATGAAGATCCACCAACAAAAAAAGCATCAATACCTAATGTCATCCGCATTTTTCTTCATCCAACAACTCCAAGTTTGGTGCTAAATTTACTTCTGTTTCGGCACGAACAGCAATATCCACTTCAGAATTGCAGACAATTTTATTCTAAAAGAAAAAGAAGAAAATTTTGAAGAAAAAGATGATTAAAAAATACCCTTGAAAAGCTAAGAGATTAGCAACATTTGACTGAACATAAGCATTTGTATCGGAACCACGAGCTGTTGACAAATCAAAACGTTGTTGTAGTACATTTTTAAAATTTAAAGAATGCTGAGTGAGTAAACTTAAAAGAAAAAAAATTTAGGTACAGCCAGGCGCGCGGCTATAACGGCGCAAAGCCATAACTTGATTCAAAATTTCCGAATCTTACCAAATTCAGTATTAATCGATTCCTCTCATCGAGCTAAAGAGATTGGTACCAAAATTGATAAGAGTCGGAAATGTTCCTGCTAGTTATGGCTTTGCGCCGTTACGGCCGTGCGCCTAATTGGGCGTGCCCCAGCAAACTTAAATGAAAGAAAAATTAAGAAAATCGAAAATCAATAAAATGAGCCCTGACAAAATGACACGAAGGCAAAAACGAAAAAACGGTTTGCGACAAAATGGTAAACAAAAAAATATAGGTATGATTTTTCTGGGTAGGGAACCTTTCAGAGTAGCCGGTTTAGAGTGCTGGTAAAAGTGGACGTTTCAGAGACACAAATTTTTGAGTTTTGGGGTGCGCGACTTTGACAATTGTCTGCCGTAAATTGTCCCACTGTACAGTTGTCTCACTGTCCAATTGTCGTGTCACCGTTCCGTAACAAAAAATAAAAAAAAACAGAATGCCAATTCAATAAATTAATTATTTGGACATTAGAGTCTCACATAAAAAATTTTTCTTTTTCCCCTGGATTTTTAATTGTTTAAATTTTTTTAAATTTTTATTAGCAAAAATGAAACGTTTCAATCAACAACCAACTACCCCAACAACATCAAACCCAATTCCAATCAAAAGAAAAATACAGCCAGTGTTTCTGGGAGGAATTGGGGGAAGTGGAATGACTGAAAATAGGTTTGCCTTTTGAAAAATATTTTTTTAAAAATTAAAAAAAAATTTTTTTTCTAGTCCAAACAATCCTCTGTTCAATTCTCAATTAAATATTGGAATAAATAATTTAATTAATTCGACAACAAATTTATTTGGAGCAAATTCCCCCCAGCAGCAATCCTCGCAGCAGTCGCAGGGACAACCGACACGTTTATTTTTCAATAAAATTTCTGAACAAAATATAAATAAACAAATAATTAATGAACAAAAACAAGTAGAAGAAGAAAAATCTAAAAATAATTTAAATGGAATTAATTCAAATACGTCTGCGTCAATCAGTTCAACACAACAAACGTTGTCTGTGAATTGTCTGTCGGTAGAAAGTCCGGAAAGAAATTGGCAGGTAATTGTGTTTTATTTTCCGGAAGGTTTTGTATTTTCTCTTAGTTTTCTTTAGTGTTATATTTCTTTCCGGAAAGTTATTTTATAAAAATAAAATACAAAACTTTCCGGAAACATAATATAATGTTTTCCGGAAAGTTTTATATTTATTTATTTCCGGAAAAGTTTTTGTATTTTTCTCTTAATTTTCTTTAGTGCTATATTCTTTCCGGAAAGTTCTTATTTTATAAAAAAAAATACAAAACTTTCCGGAAACATTAATATATTGTTTTCCGGAAAGTTTTATATTCTATTTAATTATTCTATTTCTTTCCGGAAAACATTTAAAATTACTGAACCCTTAAGAACACGCACTTCCATCTTTTTAAAAATTCATAACTTTAGTTTGCCCCAAGCTAAAAATTTAAATTTTATATCAAACGAAAGAGGAGATTCTGGTCTATCATTTAAAATAAAAAATAAAATTTTATTTTAAAAATTAAAATTTTTATTAATTTTTAAAAAAATTAAGGTGGAAGAGTTAACGCCTTTACCACAACTCAAAAGATTAAATTCCTCTGCAGAATTAACTCCATTGCTTAGACCTTCAGATTTACAAAATGTCCCGTCTTCAGATTCTGTTGATATGGCTACTCCGCAAATTCAAAAATTTTTGTGTTTTGCTGTTCCTTTGGTTTTTTTGAAAATTTTTTAAAAAATTAATTTTCTCTTCTTTAAAGTCCCCAACTTGTAATATCGATCAAATTTTAGTCAAAAATTCAATAAATACCAAAAAGACGTTAAAATATGCCAAAATTCAAGCTAAATTTGCTAGAGAATTGAGGTGGACTCAAACGGTTGCTTCTCCAATTCTTTTGCTTAGAGCTAACAAGTTTGGATTTTTTTGTGTTTTTCGAAATATTTTTAAAGATTTTGGACTGTCTGTACACTCGAAGACAACAATTTGATGATTTTTAATACTCAAAGTGGAATAAACCATTTATCCCTCCACACGGGGGCGACTATTGCCTTTTTGGAAATTAAATCTGATTTTTGTTTGACAATTGGAATAAATGGGGAATTAAGTATTTGGTAAGTATAAGAAAATTTTTTTGGTTAGAAAATTTTATAAGGGATTTAGAAAAATCTACACGAATTTTGCAGACGTCTGTAGGGACTCTACTTGCACGACATGGTTATTTATTTTTAATTAAAACATTCCGGAATGTACTTCCGGAAAAGTTTGTATTTCTCTTTGAATTGACTATTTTATTATTCTCTTTCCGGAAATTTATTTATAGTTTCAGGAATAACTTTCCGGAAAGAAAATATAAAAATAACTACATATAAATGAATAAAACTTTTCCGGAAAATCTATTTTACATATTTCCGGAAGGTTTATACTTATTTTTATTCTTTCCGGAAATTTCTATATATTTTATATAGTTTCCGGAAAATATGGGAAAATAGACTTTTCCGGAAAATTATATTTCCGGAAATCTTTTATCTGTTTTTATTTTCCGGAAATTGTTATATATTTTATTATATATACTTTCCGGAAAAAAATATATAAGAAACTTTTCCGGAAAGATTTACTTAAGGAATATATAAATGTTAGTAAAGTTTCCGGAAAATTCTTTTTTCTATATTTCCGGAAAAATATAAGGGAATAAACCTTTCCGGAACTTTTCGGAAAAATATGAATAATTATAGTCAAGTCTTCCGGAAAATAGAATATTAAAGAAAATATTGTATGTAAGTTTCCGGAAACTTTTTTCTATATTTCCGGAAAGTATATTTATTATATATTTCAGGAGCCCCAATTCCTTCCCTTAAAATTGTTCGTCTCTGCCTTTCAACCAACGGTTTACCTTTAATTGCCCTTTCAAATGGAGAAGTTTTTCTATTTTCTCGTTCACTAAATTCTTGGTTGTGTATAATTGTTGGACAACAAAAATGTGGGGGAGGGCTATTTGATACTTCTTTGTGTTCACTTTTAACAGCAATGCAATTTATAGCAAATTCTTTACCTAATGGATTAATTTCTCTTTTAATTGGGAAATTGGTAGGGGGATTTAATTTAAAAAATATAAAAATTTATTTTAAAGCAATTAATTAATGATAAAAATAAATTACCTGTAAATTCTCAATGTGAAGAAATGGCAGCATCAAATGAAGAAGCACAATTGGAACTATTACTTAGAGCGGTATATCAATTTAAAACTTGATTATAAACAGTTAATATGTCCTTTCCGGAAAGTTGTAAGAATAAAAATTGATCAGGATCTTTTATTATATTCTTTCCGGTATTCTCTATTAACATTTATATTTCCTTTCCGGAAAAGTTTTTATTTTTATATGTTACTTTAATATATTTTTCCGGAAAGTTTTGAATTATATTCTTTCCGGAATTTAGTATTTTTTTTAATTATTTTCTTTTCCGGAAAGAAAATAAAATATAGAATTCCGGAAAGAATATAACTTCCGGTTATATTTCTTTATTTTATATTCTTTCCGGAATTTTCCGGAAAATGTTTATTTATATTTCTCTTCCGGAACTATTTCCTTTCCGGAAAGTTTATTTTTTATTTTCCGAAAAATATTTAATCTTTCTTTTCCGGAATTTCTTCAATATTTCCGGAAAAGTTTTATTTATTCTATTCCTCTTCCGGAAAGTTATATTCCTTCCGGAAAATCTTATATTTTTATTATTTCTATTTTTCCGGAAAAGTTTTATAATTCAATTCTGATATTTTTAATTAATTTTTTAAAGGCTTTTGAATTAGAATCACGAGAAGAATATCGTTTTCTTGCAGCTTTGTATCTTCAAAAACTTGTTAAACGAGGTGATTAAATTTATTTTTAATTTTAATTCAATTAATTTTAAAGGCAAAAAAGAAAAAATTGCCGATTTTATAAACGATTTAAAAACAAATTTGTCTTCATTTATTTCATCAGAAACAATTTTGGAAGATATTAGGCCATTTATTAATTTTAATAATGAAAAAAATGGAGAAAATTTGGTAAAAAATATTTTTGAAGGAGAGGGGGATATAAATAAATTAAGAAGTGAAAAAGAATTGGAAAGGAGTTTTTCTTGGCTTTGTTAAAAGTAAAATTAATTTTTTAAAATATTTTTCAAATTATTTTTTGTCAAATTTTTCCTAAACTTGACCAATAAATATTTTAAGAAAAGAAAATTTTTTTTTCTTGCTAAATCTTTTTTTTTGAAAATTTTTTTCTTTTAAATTTTATATCAAAAAATCCTTAGGAAATGTATATTTTTTGGAAGAAGAAAAGATAAAAAGCAAAGCCAAAATTGATGTTTTATGTTTTTTTCACTTCCTTTTTGACTCTCACGAAATTTAGTACATTTTAAAGAAGCTTTTTGGTTTTTCTTTCAGCTGACCAATGACGTAAAGAATATATAACTTCATTCAATGTTTATAGGGGATAGAATATATTAAACTTTCCGGAAAGCTAAAATTGAAACTTGAATAGAATATTAATAGAAAACTTTCCGGAAAAGTTGAAAGAATATTAATAGAGATTCTATTAAGTTTCCGGAAATTTATGTATTTTCCGGAAAGTTTAATATTCTTTCCGGAATACTTTATATACTTTTCCGGAAATTAGGCATAATTAATTTAAACCATTCCGGAAAGTTTCCGGAAACTTATTTATTTTCCTTGAAAATACATTTTTGTATTTTCCGGAAAGTTTATAATTCTTTCCGGAATACTTTATATACTTTTCCGGAAATTAAGCATAGATTAAATATTTATATAAAACATTCCGGAAAGCTTCCGGAACCTTTTTTACAATTAATTTATTCAGTAAGTATTAATTCTATAACCACAAGAAAATTAATTTTTACTTAATCAAAATACTTTTCTAAATAAAAAATTCCCTCCAAAGTTTTTTCTTTTCTTTTTTGTTGATGAATTGCTTTTTCTTTCTTTTGTTATATTTTTCAGCAATTTGCTTCCAAGTTTTTTTAGAGTTTGTCTAAGCATGTTTGGGATATCCCTTTACTTATTCCACTAAAAATGCCATTGTTGTTGTCTTTAACAAAAAAAACCCTTATAAAGAAGAACCATAAAAATAGTTAACGTTTGGCTGTTTCTTTTCTGTGATATCGTCAATAAAAATAAATGTTAAATTATATAAAGTTTTAAATTTTTTCCGGAAAGTTGCAAGTATTTTATAGATTGTTAATTTGTTTTACGGAATATATTTTACAATCTTTTCCGGAAAGTTTATATATCTATTTATTATATTTTCCGGAAAGTTTACTATATTTTTTTCCGGAAAGTCTTAAAATTATATTTAGTATTTTCCGGAATATATTATACAATTCTTTCCGGAAGGTTTTATTTTCTATACATCTATTTATTTTCCGGAAAGTAATATAATTTTTTCCGGAAACTTATTATTTCCAATACATCTATTCATTTTCCGGAAAGTACTTATAATTATAATTTTTTCCGGAATTTTAATAAAACATTTCCGGAACGTTTAAAAATACATTAAATATTTTCCGGAATATATTTTATAATTCTTTCCGGAAAGTTATATTCTTTCCCCTTAAAACTACGCACTTAAAGTTTCAAGTTTGCAGAATATTAGTGTATTATTATGCACTTTCTTCACCGTGCCTTTTCTTCAATTAACAAATGTTCAATTATTACAACAACAATTATATTAATATTAATAGGGGCTATTTTTCTAGTTTTTGCTTTCGTAGTAAAATCGCCGCCTGGAAGAGTTTTTCTAGAAGAAAATTTTAATTCTCCAATTTCATATGCCTATACCCAATTAGACGAAAATATAGAAGGAAGAGGACAACAGAAAATAGAAAATCATAAACACAGAAATAATACCCACAGAAATCATGTCAAACCGTCTTCCCTCCGGAAAAGCCATCCGATTGAATTAACAATAGATTCTGGCTCTATACGTGGGGAATATTTGGTTTGGGGGATTTTTTTGAGTATTTTAATATTTTTAAAATTTTTAGACTATTGGAGCTAATGAATTTGCTGTGTTTAAAGTTGGAAAATAAATAATAAAAAAAAATAAAATTTAAAATTTTAAGGGCATCCCCTATGCCGCCCCTCCAGTAGGCTCTCTTCGCTTCCAACTCCCCGAACTTCCAGCCAAATGGAGAGGGGTAATGAATGCTTCACAATATGCTCCGGTAAATTAAAAATCATTTTCCCTCAAAAATTAGAATTTTAAAGATGTGTGCTCAACGCCAAAGAGACAGAGCTATAGATCCTTTAAATTTATACAAAATTCATATTTCTGAAGATTGCCTTTATTTAAATGTTTTTGCGCCTCCTCAAGTATTTAAATTCTAATTTAAATTTAAAATTAATTTATCTAGTTTACCAATGATTCTTATCCAACTATTGTATTTTTACATGGTGGTCGGTTTCAGTATGGGTCTAGTGCCGATTGTTAGTTTTTCTTTATTTTTATACTGAAACTAAGTAAAAATAAAATTAAAAGAATTTTTAAATTAAAAATTTAAATAAAAAAATTATTTAAATAACATTCTATAATGATAGAAAAAAATAAAGACCTCATGGGAATCGAACCTTCCACCTTGCCACCCAAAATCAATGTGACTAACCACTTAACCAAACCATCAACAGACGGATTCCTTTAAAGACTGCTCTTAAGACTAGATTTAAATTAATATAATAGACTCCATGTTACAGAATTAAATAAATTTTTAGACCCTCAACACGCAATTCTAAACAATTTTGTTTCTCGCAAAGTAGTCTTTGTTTCATTAAACTTTCGTCTTGGCCCCATGGGATTTCTCTCTACAGGCGATTCTGTTCTTCCAGGCAATTTGGGTCTGTGGGATATTTTGTTGGCTTTGAAATGGGTACAAATAAATGTATGGAAATTAAAATATTTTTGAAAATTTTTTCTGAAAATTTTTTTAAGGCTCACGTATTCGGAGGAGACCCTAATAACGGTAAAATTACAAAAAAAAATTTTTAATTCCTCCAATTTTTTATTTTCAAGTTTTATTGATGGGACACGGCTCAGGCGCTTCGGCTGCTTCCCTTTTGGCACTATCACCCAAAGCTGAGGGTCTTTTCCACAAAATTATGTTAATGAGTGGAACAGCTATGTACTTGTTAATTAATTAATTTAAAAATTAATTCCTTTAAAAGAACCCCCGGGACTGTCCGCGACACAGCAATTAACGCTACATGGGCGTTAGATGCCCGTCTGCATTGTCGATCGTTTAATTCTTCGGAATTACTGGAATGTTTTAAGAAACAATTGAGAGATGAAATACTTGATTTTGAGGTGTTTTTTGAAAAATTTTTCAAAAAATTAAAAAAAATTTCAAAAAAAAAATTTTAAGCCTGACCCAGACCCAGACTACGATTTATTTGTCCCTATTATGGATGGAGAACAAGGGATAATACCTGATGACCCAGAATCTTTAGCACTTTCACGGAGAAAAATGCCTATAATGCTTGGAACGACGAGGGATGAGAGTGCCCTGCAAATATGTAATTTGAAAATTTTGGGGGACATGGGAGTTCCGGAAAAATTATTGCCGGAAAAAAATTAAATTAAATTAAACAATTTCCGGAAGGAAAATAACGAATAAATAAGCTTTCCGGAAAGTATATTTTTAAATAAGGGTCTACTAATAATACTCCGGAAAAATAAATTCCGGAAACTATACATATTTTCCGGAAAAATAAGTAAAACATTTTCGGAAACTACTCATACTTTCCGGAAAGATAAATAAAACATTCCGGAAACTACTCATACTTTCCGGAAAGATAAATAAAACATTCCGGAAACTACTCATACTTTCCGGAAAGATAAATAAAACATTCCGGAAACTACTCATATTTTCCGGAAAAATAAATAAAACATTCCGGAATATTATTCTCATTTTCAGGAAAATACATCTATTTTCTATTACATTAAAACATTTCCGGAAAAATAAATACATAAATTCCGGAAGAAATATATTTTCTTTTTTTCAGTATTGCTAAAAGAAAAACCGGTAAATCTGAGTGAGGGTCTACTAATCAGTGAAGCAGAACAATTAGTAACCAACCTAACAAGCTCATATACTGGCTTTACAAATAAACAGTTAATTGGAGAGGCAACAAAACACGAATATATTTGGAGTAAAGTAGACCCGTCAGAATCCCCACATCTTAACGAGTCTATTTTGAAGGCAAATATTTTTGAAAAAATTTTTTTTTAATTTTAAAATAAATTAAAAAGATGTTTTCCCACTTTTGGTACGATGCTCCAACATCAAGATTGGCAACTTATTATGCCCGCCAAGCAATGCCTGTGTTTCTCTACTCGTTTGATCATGTTAGCGAGAACTTTGAAACAAACTGTGAGTTGTATCTTCGGGGAAATGTATTTATTCTTATTCCGGAAAAATAATTAAAATTCCGGAAACTATTAATATTTTCCGGAAGAATATATTTCCATTCCGGTAAAATATATAAAATGTTTTCCGGAAAATTATTATATTTTCCGGAAAATTATATTCTCATACCAGAAAGATGAATAAAACATTCCGGAAACTTTTCTCATTTTCCGGAAAATACATTTATTTTTCATTACATTAAATAAAACACTCCGGAAAATAAATTCATTATTCCGGAAAGTTCCGGAATATATTACTATTTTCCGGAAGAATAATTAAAATTCCGGAAGACTATTATATATTTCCGGAAAACTATATTCTCATACCAGAAAAATAAAATAAAAATTCCGGAAACTATTCTCATTTTCCGGAAAATACATCTATTTTTCTTACATTAATAAAACATTCCGGAAAATAAATTGATATATATTCCGGAAAATTCCGGAAAATACATTTATTCTGGTCATTTATTCTGAAATACATTTACTATTAAAATACAATTATAACTAAGGGGTCTTCCACGGCTGCGATGAAATTTTTCTCTTTGAACTTGAACGCCGCTTTCTATTAACCAGGCGTGACAGAAACTGGCAATTAGATAGGCGAGTAACAGAATTATTTGCAGACATGATTGTTAATTTTTTGAGGACCGAGTTTGTATTTTTTTGTGTTTCTTTTGTATTTTTATTTCAATTTAAGCGA